CATCGGATGCAGGTGCAAGGAAATTGAAAAAATGTTACAGAGGTATAACGTCAGCAACAAAGGAGTTAACACTTGGGATGTTTTCATTTTTCGCAAAGAAGTAGGTAAATCGAATAATGCCAAAAGCTCAAGGCTTGCCCGTATTCCAAGGGTCGCAATTAATTTGCGCCAGTTTGAAAACTTTTCAAAACATTCGCCAAAATTGTCTTTTCAACACCCATAATGACCTATCGTTTCATTTCTGATCCAACGCCTAATCTCCCCCCTACGAGATGTTGCCACGTGTGCGACCACGATCCACTGTCTCCTCCCCTTACCCTATCTTTTCCACTTCAAATCACCACGTGACACACCGCCTCTTGAGCCCCGCGCCCCTCCACCTTACCCTTTGCGGTCAGCCTTCCTCATGGTCGGCCCTCCTACTCGGCCAACCTTCACGGTCGGCCCTCCTCGTGGTCGGCCCTTCCACTCGGTCACGATTTGCGGTCGGTCCACCTCATGGTCCTCCCTTCCACTCGGTCCACCTCACAGTCGGCCCACCTCGCGGTCGGTCCACCCACTCGGTCGCCCTTGCCGGTCGACCTGCATCCTTCCAATCTCTAACACCCTCATTCTCTTCATTACTATTCCCTTCGTTGGACTAAAGCTGCACTCGGGAATGGGAGACTACTGATGTGGGTAAGCCCATAAAGGCCATAGCCCACTATAAACAACCCAAGCCCATCACTTGGAAGCCCAATACATAACCCAGCTGGTAAAGTCCAGAACAGCTAGAATCCAACGTAGCATAAAGAGCCAATGACTTTCAGACATACGGCAGGTAAAGGACAAGCCACATCAGCAGACAAAGATCTGCAAAGTTATCGCCACTGCACATCACCATTAATGCAGCTCATCACAGCATTTATTACGACAACACCTCTCCGTCGGAACAGCACCCCCTTACCCTAAACAAGGTAAGCTACAGCATAGACTTTCGGCCAAGATGGCAGGTTGGAAAGGACAGCGAAATGATGACCAAAGGATATAAGCAAACGTTGAAGACAATAAGAATGTTAAGTTTTCTATCTCCAATTCATCTCTCTACATTTCACTTCTCTCTCTCTCTAACTTGCTCGTCGGAGGGTTCGCTGGGGGACTCCCTGTTCCCCATTGAACTCCTGTGCAGGTTTTCTGGTAGGCTTGAACACTCAATTACCGGTTGAAGAAGCGTGGATTAGTCCTACCCATTCCACCTGGACCCGTTGTGTAATAATTGTATCATCAGATAATAATATCGTAATCACTTTATTTTCAATCAAAATGACCATTATTATTCTTATTTTTATAAAAAAATTTATTTAAAATATTTTCTTTATGTTTGCTTTAAAAAAAAAATTTCCAAAACCCGAGGGGGACACGTGACCCCCCCGGGCCCCTGCTAGCTCCGCCACTGTTAACACTTGAATTTAAGCTTAAGAAACATTAAGTTCAATCATGACCATTTAAGGCCCTTCAAAGTACGTCTTTGGCACACGCTTTGCACTTGATTAACATTTAGAAAAAACTTGAGTTAGTACTAGAGATCCTTTAGAAATTTCTAAGCTAAACTAAAACACTTGAATTGATTTAAGAACTTACAAGTTAAGCTATTTCAAATGCCTTATTTATACTTTGTGTAGGTTAAGCTTTGGAGAAGGAGGAAATTCCATTGTTTGCGAGGCATCTATGAGTAATATTATTGTAAAGTTATATTCAAAAATTTGTTTAGAAAACTTGATAATATGTCATGATTTATGAAATTCTTATTTTGTTTCTAAATAAATAAATGTCATATATTTTATTGAATCTATCAATGGTATCCTTAGATAGTCTTAGCCATTGGGGGACAGTCTAAATGTACCATAGCTATGTTTGAGCTCCATTGCCACCGAAGTATGGATTATCTAATTGTACTCGGATCGATTATTCTATTATTTTCTCAGTTTTGGTGATTAAAAATATTGAAATTTCTTCATATTTTATATTTAAATTATAATTTTACATGAAAATCTAATATCTAATAATCTAAATAGAATTAGAAAGTAAAATATTAGTAAAAAATTTTATAAATTCAAAAGTGCACTATTTATTATTATTTTATATATTTTCTGTTATTATTATTACTATAATTATTATTATTCATAATTCTTTTTCCAGAAGAATACACAACTAATCATTTTCTAAGTATATTTAAATTAAGTGAATCTAAATCTAAAAGTAAAATCAAAAAATAAAAAATATTAAATTAAGTGAATCTAAAATGAAAATAAAAAGGTTATTGAAAATAAAATAAAAAAAAAGTGTCAAACACAAAAAATATGAAAATTCAAAATAAAAGTTTGAAAAAAAAAAACTAAACCAAACACTATAAACTTCTCTTTCTAAAATCTTTTTTCACTAATCTCTAATTTTACATAAGTTATTCACAAATTCCTTTCAATTTTTATGTAAATTTAATATTCTAATTAAAAAATTGTGTATACACATTAAAAATGTAACACTAAACATCTACATTAGTTATGACCAACTATTTAATTATAAATAATTAATTTCTTATCGTTACTTTATTATATTGTTATAAAAGATTTCACATATCACTTTTGTAATATCTTATAGATGTTAATGTCTATATATATAAATATAAATTTATATAGGAGTATGTTATTGTATTCATACATTGTCCATCTGTAATGCTATATTACTATTGGATACTTTAATTTTCTAACATTGCTTTAGTAATATAGTACTATTTGTTAGGAAAAAATTACAGAATTATATATTGTTCTCTTATCAACTTATATTCAATACATATATACATACATGTCATACAAATAAGTATCTACAACAAACAGTTTCAATAACAAATTAATACTTTGCAAAACACATCCATCACGATAATAATTGTACTTTTTTCCCTCACAAAAAAAAAAAATCACATTATTGAGAAAAAATGAATTTTAAAATTCATAACAATATGATATCGTTTCAAACTCTAACTCATCAAAATATTTTTATTACAATGAGTTATAATGGTGAGTAAGAAGAAAAATAAGAAGATGGTAAAACAAAAACTACAGAAAATCTATTGCAACATGCTGTCCAAGCAAAGTTAGACGAAATTAGACGAACTGAAGCAGAAATTGTCCTATTTGTTGTTAAGTTCAAGAAAAACAATGTACCTCATACATACATTTTATGTTTATAAATTTGTTTATTTATCATTTAAATTCTTCAACCAAATATTTATTCATTTCTTACTTAATTATATTTTGAATAAGATCATTTTATTCATACAAGTCTTTATATTTTATATATATATCACATGCTAATTTAAGAGACACGTATAATTACAGTATTAATAATTGATAAAAATCAAGTGCCAACCACTAATTAAAAGAAGTATAAAAAATTGAAAAACTAAGTGGGCTTGAACTCAGGTGACAGCCCTAGGTCCGTCTCTAAGCCCGTTGGTTCAGAAAATAGGGCTGGATTTGAGCTTGAAAAGTTGACCATTGTGGGCCAGCTTGATTTTTGGAAGAGACCAATTGGATTGGGCTGGGCGGGCGCAGCAATGCGCTGGGCCTGCAGGCCGCGGCCAATTTTTGAAGTTGGGCCGCTGTTAATTTGTATTTAATTTTATATTTAAAATTACATTTATTATTTATTTATTTTTGGATACAAATGTGATTTGATAAAAAAAAAAATTATTGATATCCGATTAATTTAATTTTATACAATATGTTATACTAGATGTACATTAAAAAATGAAATATTTCAATTATTGAAACGAGATTCAAAGTGAGTTTATAAATCATACAATAATAACTGTTGTGCATGGCTCACAACAATCATTTCTATCCAAAATCGTTCATTTTAATAAAAAGAAGTCAACCCAGTTATATCAAAATTGTATTATTTATTCTATTTTCTTTTTTTTTTCAAAATTATATATATATATATATTTTTTTAAATTTTCTAGATAACATTGTATAGACAAATATAAAAAAGTAAATTTTTTATTGAAATATTCCAAATGAAATTTAAAATGTGAAAAGAAATCGAAAAAATATATTATTTGATGTTTATCATTGTCTTTATATATATATATATAATTTTTCAATTAATTCCACCAAATAAAATTTAAAAATTTTAAATATTTTAAAAATAAAATTCACTAAAAATAAAAATAAGTCACCATGCAAACCCCAACACCTTTTGGTGATTTTTTTAAATATTTTTTTTTATGCGAATAATAGAAAACAAGGATAGATAAAAAAAAATGAGAAAAAGGAAAAAAGAAGAAAAAAACCACCGCCCCCTCCCCTCCCAAAAAAAAGAGCCAAGCTTCTCTCTAGTTCGAAATTTAAATTAAAGCTTAATGTATAAAACTCGTCGAATATTTTATATTTGTAAAAAATCATGTCAATCGGATATCGATAGACACTTCATCAAATTATATTTCTGTAAACGACATATATATTTTTTAAAATAAATTAACAAAAATATAATCCAATCAAATAAATATTGATATCTGATTAAGTAATTTTTTGTAAGAATAAAATACTTGGTGATCTCTATACGTTGAATTATTCGGATTATCAAAATAAGATATATGGTGAACTCTATAAACCCAAACAGTAGAGTCCAATCTACTATGTGGACCTGAAAGAATTTGAGTCCAAAAAGAAAAAAACATCAAGTGGTGAGGTGAAAACAAAAAGAATACGAAAAATGAAAAATTAAAACTTTTTAAAAAGTAAATTTTGAAAACTGAAATCCAATATAGTGATTATGATTTTAATATTTTTGTTAATTATTTTAAAAAGATTATGCTAAAAACGTATTTTATGAATACATAATTAAAAAATATGTTTTATTATTAAAATTTTATTTATTTTTTTAATTTTAGATTAAAAAAAATCCAAATTTTAATGAGCCGTCGTGCGAGCCCTAGATATTTCAGTGTTTTTCTTTCCCAATAAAAGCCCTCCTTCCCTGCCTCTCTCTCTCTCGCATAGCTCTGCCTGGTTCTGATGGCTTCTACAGCTGCCGCGTCCACAGACCACCACCTGGACACCAACGGCTCATCAAACCCACCGGCCAACGCACCTCACTCCACCGCCACCACTACCTCCTCCTCCGCCGCCGCCGCCGATACGATGGAGGTTGAGGCGGCGGCAACTGATAACAACCCTCCTCCACCACCCGACTTAGCTCCGGCGACGACGGTGTCGGCAGAGAAGAAGTGGCCGGGATGGCCTGGGAGCTGCGTGTTTCGCCTCATCGTGCCTGTCCTCAAAGTCGGCAGCATTATCGGCAGAAAGGGTGACCTCATCAAGAAAATGTGTGAGGAGACTAGGGCTCGCATTCGTGTCCTCGATGGTCCAGTTGGTAGTCCTGATCGCATTGTGAGTTTTATTTATTTATTTATTTAAATCTCTATGCATGCTTGATTTCTAGGGTTTGTTAATCTATGAACGCTATTGTCAGTACTTTTGGATTGGATGATTTGGGAAGAAAAGAAAAGAGAAGGAATTTATTTGTTAGTTCATTGAATTTGTTTGGATAAGTAAAGAGGAGAGAAATAGAATGAAATGGGAAGAAATAGAGAAAATTTATATTGTGAGAGAAATTTGGGAATTTGATGAAAAGAGAAATTTTGGATAAGAGGGAATTTTTACCATTACAATCTCCAATTAGGACAGTTTCTTTCCAATAAGAGACACAATGTCTCGAATACATGTTTGTTTCACCAACCCATCTGCATTCTCGTGTGTTATTACCATTTGCATATTGTGTACAGCCTCATCTCTTCATTCATGTATAAGGAATGTTTGGTATAGTGTGTTTTTTTTTTTGTGTGTGTGTGTGTGTGTTTTTCTTCTGAATTTAGTGAATTAGCCCTGTTTGGTAGAGCTGGGGAAAGTGCTTATAGTTTATACCTTAACAGCTTATAGCTTATAATTATGAACATAAGCTGATTTCTGACTTATAAATTGAGCTTCTCCTGCCTCACTCAAAGAATAAGTTGATTTCTGACTTACAAAAAGCTATAAGCTGGATTGTTAAGCTAAACCAAACACATCAAAATAGCTTAAATTAAGCTGAAAGCTGAAATAAGCTAAAATTAAGCTATACCAAACAGGGCCATTATATTGTAAACCTTAGAGGGAGCGAGGGTTATTAAACTATTTTTAGAGTAGAATTAAATTTGGTTTTCATTCTCTCTCTCTCTCTCTCTCCCCGTGTGTTTTGTTTTATCAGTGTGTTGAATGGTGATGCTATATGAATGCATGTTTGAAAACTTTTTTTCTTTTCTTTTCTTTTCTTTTCTATTTTTGCTTCAAAGCATCTAAAGCATTCAAAGCAAGTTGATTTGAATACATATGTGGTTTCTACATGTAACTATATAGAGCAATGGATTGTTTTCCTTTTTGATGGTTCAAGCAGCAGATTTGCACTTTTCTTAGAACAGAACACCAGTGTTGGTTGGAAATCAATTTCAAGAATCCTTTTTTAGTATTGATTGGCGCAACAAACGATTATACCATTTAGAATGGTATGACACCCATTTTGCAAATATTTTAAAATACAATGATGAATGTTTTGGTTTAAAATAATAAATTACTACAAAAGCCCCTATTTGGTGCTGCGTATGGGGCTGCTTATGACTTTAAATATATATTTTTTATTTTGGAAATATGTGCCAAAGTGTTTAGTATAGTTTTGTTTTACAACTTATGAGGCATAACTAACCTAAATAAGTTGAAAAAAACTGATCATTGAGAGATAGGAGAATGCGTGTTTTTAACTTTTGCTTTTGATTATCAAAACAGGCCTAAAAGAAGATGAGATTTTTTCCCCTGCGTACTCAAGAAGTGTTAATTCTTGGTGGAGAACTAGTGTTGGGTAGTGGTTAGTGGTTTATGTTGTGGCTGGCAGTGATAACAATGGTGTGAAATATAGGGTAATCTGGTTCGGTTGGAAAGAGCCTTTTTTGCTTTCCTTGTGATTGTGGACTTGTAGTTATTGGGCGGAGCTATATTGGTTCTTGCTTGTGGTGGATGGCAGTGCTGTTGAGTGTTATGGTGTACAAGGTGGTGATGCCAATGATGTGAAATGTAAGGCGATGATAGTGATCAGTCAAATTGGGGAGAAAGAGAGAGAATTAGAATGTATAAAAAAGTCTTGGACAAGTGAGTTCTTTTTCTCAATAACAATTATGCTTCTTTTTGCATAGTTTTTGCCTCATGGCCCTCAACTTTGCAAAATGGAACTTAAGCAGCGTTTTTGCACCAGCATGGTCTTTCATTAAGATAATTATGTCTTGAATTTGATGATTGCAATGCAACTTGCAACTTTCAGTTCAGTAGCTGGATAATAGAAGTGAGCGTACTGAAATTTCTGTTATAGTTGTATTTATGACCTTTGATTCATGAAAACTTGTTTATTTTTGGATATGTTTCTGTTTCCTGTTCAGGCATTCCATTCTAATTCCCAACTGAATTATTTTTCCTGTACTTACAGGTTCTAATATCTGGAAAGGAAGAACTGGAGTCACCATTATCCCCTGCAATGGATGCTGTAATAAGAGTATTCAAACGTGTCAATGGACTACCTGAGAGTGAGGGTGATGTTAAAGTGCCTGGAGCTGCATTTTGTTCAATCCGGTTTTTGGTGGCATCCACGCAAGCCATTAATCTAATTGGAAAGCAAGGCTCTTCAATCAAGTCAATACAGGAAAGCACCGGTGCCTCCATTCGGGTTCTCTCAAGTGGTATGCTTTAGTTGCTTCAAAAGCTACTAAATTGTTTACTATTACTGGATTTTTTCCATGTGCATCATCTACAATGTTGCCTTTCGATTTTGGCGGCAATTATTGTCCTTATTGGTCTTATGCTAGATTGAATTTATGAATTTACATTTGAAATTTTTTTGTTCACGTCATTTTTACCCTTTCATGATTATACTAGCTTATTAATTTTTGAAAGTTTACTATGCTACCCATTGATTCATGACTTTATTCTGTTTGATTTACTTGATTTACAGTTGGTATGATTTTGTTTAATTAGCAATGAAAGTAAATTGTATAGAGGGTGCACAACCTTTACACAACCGAAAAATAAAGAAAAAAAGAAAGAAGAAAGAAAAGTGCGTAAAATAGAAATAAACCAAATCCCGATTACCAGCAGCCACAAAACATCAACAACCAACAAATAAAATTCAAACTAGCGCTAAATTTACAAAGGAAGCTCTATCATCATGTGTCATGATTTTCATTTTTTCTCCTTCCAGCTTACGAATAACAATGACAAAAAATAAATGGATTCTTCTCCAACTTCTCCATGAAGACAAATAAAGGACTAACAGCTTTCTTCAGTCCACACCTCCCTTAAAGGCTCACACCCCTCTTACCATCATAATAATGAACATTGAAGTCTTTTAATTTCTTTCTCCTTCCAGTAAATATTTAAGCCTCTATCCTTCTTCTCCATTAAAACCGGCTAATTCACTATTGGAGAAGTCTAATCTTCTAAAATGTTATCCATGCCTTTCAATTCAAACATCTTCCTAGCCACTTGTACAATTTGCTTCTAACTCAAGCATCCTCCCTCATTATTAGTGGTTAAAATCCATCATAACAATGAGAGCTAATCTTGAGCTTCGAAATATTAGAATGGAAAGAGGTTTGGGCCTTAATTGTACTTGGATTCGTTAAAGACTTTGGATTAGGAGTTCCACCAATGGATTAAAATGCCTTTCCTTTTCAGTTTTCAGTAGAAACATACATTGTCTGTTGCAGCACCAAAAATTACAAGGAACATAGAAAAACGTAATGCTATTTAAATATGAAAAAGCTACTCAACTCAGCAAAGTCAAAATCAGCCAACCACATGTATGCAGTCTTAGATGTTGGTGTTAGAAGTCTGGCGGAGATATTATAAAGCTAGTCATCCTGGGCATTATATTATCTATGGATGGAGAATGATGCCTATTGATGTACATAGTTCCAAACAATCTAAATAGGCCCTCATTTATTTGAAGACATTTTTGTTTTGTTTTTTAAAATGGTTTCAGGTATTTTTCTTATTGGACTTTTGCTTTCTAATTACTTTAAGCTCCCTTTTCTTTCTTTCTCTGTTGTGTGTTTGCATACTGATGACTAGGTCAGTTTATATCTTCTTCTGGCAGATGAGGTGCCACATTATGCCAACTCAGAGGAGAGGATTGTTGAGATGCAGGGAGAATCTCTCAAGGTTCTTAAGGCTGTGGAAGCTGTGGTGGGCCACTTAAGGAAGTTCTTGGTGGACCAAAGCGTTCTTCCCCTATTTGAAAAGAGTGTGAGTCCTGTTACTCTGAAGGTTTACGAAGTAATAGATTATGGCACTGGGAACTTACTGTTGTTCTGCCTTTTTCTACAGTACAATACACCAGCCTCACAGGAACGCCAAGTAGAAACCTGGGCTGAGAAGTCATTGCTGCATAGTACTTCTCAAACTGGGATGGGTGCTGATTATCCTCTTGCAGCGAAGAGAGACCCTCTATTTCACGACCGTGAAACCCAGTTTGAATCAAATATCCATTCTTCTGGAATTTCACTGTATGGCCAAGATCCTGGACTTTCAGGAATGCGTTCTTCAGGACTTGGTCGTGCTGGTGGTCCTTTTGTAACCCAGGTTGGTTTCAATTATTCATTTCTCTACTAGTGTTATCTCACATTTCACTTTAGATATTACCTGCTGTGATGTGGTGCACATTTCCAATCCTTTCTGTTTTGTTTATCTCAAGTTTTGGAAGTCTAATGAGGTAGCTAGGCTACGGAGTGGCCATATATTAGCTTTTTTGGCCAAAATAACCAATAAAGACAAAATGTCACATCCTACCCATGAATCAATTACTTTTTCTCTCACAACCATCTATTCGACTACAAAAAAAATTTCATAAATCATCCCAAACACAACTTTTTTCCATCTCATAAAATAGTCAAAAAGCCAACTAAAATAGTCAAGTTTCCAAACGGGCCCAATTGTTTTGACAATGATTTGAATAAAATTTTCACATGATTGTGGCATCTGATTTAAGGCTTTGTTTATGATTGTGTAAAATTTTGACAATATTGTTATTTTATCTTTGGGAAAAATGTTAAATGGGTTTTGTAGTATTATGTTGCAAACTTTAGTGATAATGTTTAACAAGCTCTTGGTTTTTGTTAGCTGGGTTGATGTGGATTTTGGTCTGCATTAAGATGGAATGTGTAATGTGTATACTTAATTCCAAAAAACAAACAAACAAAACAAAACAAAAAGAGTAAGAAGGGATGATAGATGAGGGAGAGGAAGAGGAAGAGGAAGAGAGGTGGAGAAGATGGGGTGGCACTGCTGGACATGGTGCCTGAGAGAGAGAGAGTAGGGAGAGAAGGGTGGGGTGGGGTTGGGTGTGGCAGAGGCATTGATGGGCTAGTTGGGCTGCAGCATTGGTGGTGGGTTGGTGGCAACAGCAATCTGCTGGTAGCAATGTCTCTGGTAATTGGATTTCTGTTGTCTAGGTCTCTGTTACAATTGGTTATGTCTATTATTTAAAGTGAAAAACTCAGATAAAAAATGCAACAAATAATGAAAATGTGTGTTTGGTTTTAGGTATAAAACTATTCAAATGTGGAATGTGCTTGTTTGGATATTGTTAATAGTTGGAACCAAAGGTAAAATAAGCATTTTAACATAAAAATTGTTGATATCATCCTTTTCCTAAGATTAATGGAATAGTAACAATTTGGATCAAGTTGTAATGCAATTTATATCTTAGGGGACTACTTATGTGCAAATCATGGAACTAGTTGTAATTTCTCCAAACCTCAAACGAGAATTCAAATAACAGCAAGGCCACTGCCACTTTATTTATGGAATTCAATAATTTCCACTTCATTTTAATTTTAATTTTTATGTTATTTGTATTATTTGATCTTGGAATCATAATCTGATTAGTTGTTGCTTGGCTTAATCAGATTGCACAAACAATGCAAATACCACTTTCTTATGCGGAGGACATCATTGGGATTGGAGGGGCAAATATTGCATACATTCGACGTACTAGTGGCGCCATCCTCTCCGTGCAAGAGAGTAGAGGCCTACCAGATGAGATCACAGTGGAAATCAAGGGGACTTCGTCACAGGTTCAGACCGCGCAGCAACTTATTCAGGTAACAAGTCGCTTCTAATTTTAACTGTTCTTTAAACTCACTGCTCTTTAAGCTCTCTTTCAGGAACCTCAAGAAACTGCTTTTATAAGGAAAAAAAAACAAAAAAACTTAAAGATTGTTGGTTTTGTTCACAAGAGTTGTATTTGAACAATTTGAACAAAGCGTAATGGTAGTTTTGTTTTTCTTATCGTTTCCAGGAATTCATAAGCAGTCACAAAGAACCAGCGAGTAGCAGTTATGGCAAGATAGACACCGGTTTGAGGTCTTCATACTCTCAGCTGGGCAATACTACTGCGTACCCGTCATCTTCCTTGTCGACACAACCCTATGGTGGGTATGGATCGTCTGGTTTAGGAGGGTATAGTAGTTTCAGGCTCTGAATCTGAATGCGTAGGAGGATAGAATTGGAGATAAGTTATGTATTCTATTCTATTCTAGTCGGAGTTGAGTTTCCTTTTCCCACCATTTAACCTGAAATTGCTGTTAGAATGAGTGTAGTCTGTGTAATAGCTTATCCTTCTGATTTTTTTTTTTTTTTGAACTGAATATATATCAGTAAAGTTGTTGAACTGATAGTATGATGTTAGTAAGTGGCTAAGCATTGAAGAATCCAAAAGTGCAACCAATAAGAAATGTGGAAGATAGAACTGAATAATTGTAGTGATTTCTAAAATGTTCTTATTTTTTCTAAAAAAAAAAATTATTTTTATCTTATGCAGATTTATTTACTTTTCATGAGGGCATGCCATTGTTGCTCCAAAAAGTCTAGCACAGAAAAATTTCACAAAATCAAATATAGATATTTGTGTTTGATTTTTGTGAGTAATGAATGCTACACTTGTCACTTTTTTATACCACATTAATGTGCCACTTCATGGGTCAATACTGTATTGAAAATAAACATGAGTGGTGAGCAGTGAAATTTTAACTTAGAAGGGGCACAATTGAATTAAAATCTTAGTAAAAATCACAATTTAATTTAATTTTTATTTGATGGTTAGACTAAAAATTAATCAGTGTGTTTGGTTTGAGTTTTTTTAATTAAATATTTTAAAAATTGAGTTTTTTGGTATTCGTATTTTTTTGTTTTTAGTGAATATTTTTAAAATTTTAAATATATATTTTTTTAGATGTATCTAAAAAGTAAAAAAATTAAAAAAAATAATAAATATATAAAAATACAAGAAATGTATTGAATTTTTGTATTTTTTTCTGTATTTTTTGTATTTAGTAAATTTTTAAAAGATTTTTTTTACAATTTTTTTATTTTTTAGCTGTATTTATGTTAGGTGTGTCTAAAAAATAAAAAAATTACTGAAAATATTTAAAAAGTTCAATAAAAATAAAAAAAACACGAAAAATAAGAAAGTAGAATTTTCGAAAAAGTGTTTTTTGAAAAATGAAGCCAAGCAAGCTGAATGCGATTGCAAAGGTATATTTAAATATAAATTTAGGTTAATTGGTCATTATATGTATTATTATATTTAAATATAAGTTTAAGTTAACTGATCATTATTTGTATTATTATTAATTTCATTTTAGGGAAATTTAGTTATAAATCCTTTTTATTTTCCTTTCATTGTTAAAAGGATTAAGAAAAAAATTATACTTTCTAAACCCCCTTATAATTATAAAGTCTTGCATAAAGGACAAAATTTATTATTTAAATATTTTATCAGACTATTATACCCCTCAACTAGGTCTTCCTACCTTCTTCGTCTCTCTCCTCATCCGCTCTACCAAGATCAGTGACAGACATCACAGATTTCACGCCCGATAGTGGTGGTGGATCTAGATCTGGAACCAACAGATTTAGATCTCACAGTTGAGCAGAAACAACGATAGATCTGGATTTTCGATTCAGTAGCAAAGGCAACGTTGAAGACGACGACCTTGTTGACAGCAACTTCAATTGCCATTAGCTTCTCGAGGTTATGCTGTTGCGTACAGCGGTGTCGACGTGAAGAATGCTTCGATGGAGGTGAGGCCGGAGTTTGAATACGGTTACGATGCTAATGTGGTGAAAGGTTCGGAGTTTGATGTGGTGAAACAGTGAAAAAAACGACAACTGAACTTGTGACGAAAGTTCTATCCCAATCCGCAGCACAAAGTCCACGTAGTCTCTAGATCTCTTTACGGCTGTAAGAAGAACAAGAAAATATATGTATATATATATATATATATATTTGTGTGTATGAGTGTTGTTGTTCACATGTATTCTTTTCATTGAGATTTGTGATTGTTGATCGAGTTTTAGAAGTTTTTCTTCTCAATTAAATATGTTGATTTGTTGATTAATTTGTTTTGTTTTTGTTTGTTTTTTTTATTATTTTTTTTGTTATTTTTGATCAAATTTTTGTTTTATTCTAGTTCTATTGCTCTGTTTTTTGTTTCAGATAATGAGAGTAAAATTTTACTCTGGTTCTATTGCTCTGTTTTTTGTTTAAGAGAATTAGAGTAAAATTTTACTCTGGTGTTAGAATGACAGTAAAATTTTACTGTCAAGAGATGGTCATTGCCAAACACTTCAGCCGCCACAAACACTGCCTTCGCTTTTTTACTTTTGTGCAGAGTAACATTTTACTTTTAGCTTCAGAGTCTCACAGTTTACTCGTTTTTCAGAGTAAAATTTTACTTTTATGCAAAGTAAAATTTTACTTTTGTATAGAATCTAACATTTTACTAGTTTTTCAGAGTAAAATTTTACTTTTGTACAAAGAAAATTTTACTTTTAGCTTCAGAGTCTCACAGTTTACTCGTTTTTCAGAGTAAATTTTTACTTTTATACAGAGTAAAATTTTAGTTTTATGTAGAGTCCAACATTTACTAGTTTTTCAGAGTAAAATTTTACTTTTATATAGAGTAAAATTTTACTTTTAGTTTCAGAGTGTAATATTTTACTCTTATTCAGAGTAAAATTTTACTTTTATACAGAGTAAAATTTTACTCTGAAATACACAGTGAAGATGGCTTAATAGGAGAGCTGATAGATATGAGGGTAATATAATAAAAGTAACAAGTTTTAAAATATTATGGAGTTTTGAAAGTACTTATATAATTCTTATATTTTTAAAAGACAAATTAGATAGTGAGGGGGCTATCACCAAATCCCCATTGATTTTATGTATAGTGATCATCGTGGTTTAAAAAATAATCATATGGCTTCACAAAATAGGAGAGCAAAATTATCTTAAGATATACACAAAAAGAAATATAGAGAAAGAAAAAAGTGAAAGGTGAATAAATAATATTCATGCCCTTTTATTTATCACTTGTTTTTTTTTCTCCGTTTTGAATCACCGAATTAAATAACAATATATTATGGGCACTGGGTTCATAAATTCAAATATAAAAATTGTTTGGTTAAAAGGTCCAAGCACTAAGATACTTTGTTCAAAAGGACATGATGGTGCAAAATGCCTAAACTATCCATATATATATATATATATATATTGGCAAAAAAAAAGAACTTCATTCCATAATATTGCATAAAGGATATTATATTAAAAGCATTAACAAAGTCTGCTAAACACTAAACAAATAGCATAAAAAGGCCAATAATGAAAATCCCTAGCAGATGCCTAGTAGCACAAAAGATTAGAAGGACAACGAGGGGAAAAAACTACTCAAACCTGCAAAACCATCACTTGCAAATATTAGAAGGACAGAGAAATGAAATAAACTATTCAAACCGTAACATTCCGTCTTTGTGTTGCTCTGAAGAGAGTTGGATTGCTAAAACTATTCTCGATGATATGTTGTCTTCTCCTCTTTCTACCCATACTCAAACTGTAACATTCCGTCTTTGTGTAGCTCTGAAGAGAGTTGGATCGCTAAAGCTATTCTCGATGATATATCGCCTTCTCCTCTTTCTATCCACAAAGCTTTGTAACAACGAACTAATAACCTTGATTTGGCCCATAGCTTTAATAGGATGTGTAACGCCCCAAAAATAATTACAATAATTCGACCCAACACAATATATATAAAACAACGTAATCAAAATAATAAACTTCCATTAACTTGAATTGTTAAACAAGAGTGACATAGGCGCGATATATTCAAAAATAGTTCTTCTTGAATCTACGGCATGTATTGCAAGTAGTAAAAAAGAATGAAAGTTAAACAGATAATTATATACCCTAAAGACTTATAACTTTCTAAGTCATTACTTGGTTACAACAAAAAAAAGTCTAACTCTATACAATTTAAGCCATTGGCTATACAAATAAGTATAAAAGTGAAGCCCGTGTTCCAAACTCCTTCCGAGCTATTGCCTTAGCGGAGGCATAACATTAACACCTGAAAATGGTTTTCCTAAATAGGGTAAGCCAAAGCCCAGTAGGAACAATCTAACACAGTATATGGACCATAACAAAGATATAAGTACAATGTGCATTTACAATGTTAGTGAGAAAATATTTATATTCTATATCATCGTAAAGTACCAAATTTCATAACTCAATCCTTTTTCCTTCTCATCAGTTCAAGCTAAACCATTTCATCTCAATTCATGAGCCAATTTCATTATCTTTCAAACAACACATCTGAGACTACAACTCAGTGGTTCCCAAACTAACACAATCATCACATAAGCACTTCAATTTGTCATTTTATGGAAATTTCATCCACGGGATCGACACTCATGTATACGCGCGGTTTCGGGACTTTCACCCAAGACACACAAACCAACTTAGTTCAATGGAGTCCATCCACTATCTTTTCCCAAACAATGCAGTACATTCTATTTCTTCTCCCAAACAATCATACATATATAATGCATTTAAAACTTAGTCATATTTAATGACAATCAACAAGAGATTTGTTTCAATTTATCTAATCATCATGCAATTTCTACAACAATCATAACTATCCTCTACCGATAGCCCAATACAAATATGTCTAAACAGATATTAAATCTCAAGACATATAGTTTATTCAGATTTTCAAAAGGTGTGAGATAATGCATATCCATCTCTACCATTAACACCAACATTCATATAATTTCATATTTATAATACAAATTTCATTTATTTATACAAAATAAATACTTGAACCATTTTATGTTAACTTCCCTCTTTCCCAAATACCAACCCAAGTGCCAAAATCAACATTTGTGACACAATATAACCTCTCAAACCCATGACTATTTATATTATATTCACTAGAAACCCCTTTTTTGATTTTTACATTCCAAACCCTAGGTTTGTCCAAAATACTCCCAAAATCCATCATTGTTACACAATAACCAATAACTAAGTTAAAATCCATAAAAAAAAAAAATGTAGAAAATCCCTACCTCAAGCTTAAAAGACAAAAAGGAGATTTGGAGAAACTTCAAAAGCACCAAAACCAAGCTTTAATTGGATCAAAATGTAGCCCTAGAGATGCTCTAACTTTTTATCAAAGGCAAGTGGGTAAAGATATCACTAAAACTAGGTGAAAATGTAGAGAGAGAGAGAGAGAGAGAGAGTGTGTGTGTGTGTGTGTGTGATTTAGAGAGAGAGAGACTCAAGATCTAGGTTTTTGAAAAGTTCTAGAGAGAGAGGGGAATGAAAAAGCGAAGTAAAAAGTCATCTTCACGAATTGATATTCATGCAGTCTGCTCAAGCGCAAGAAGTGGCGCTCGAATGCAGAATACACACTTTTAAAAGTTTTGCAGACAAAGGACATCGCTCGAGCTCAAGATTGGCCGCTCGAGCATCCACCCGCTCGAGCATAGGAAACGCTGCTCGAGCTTGGATTACACACTTCTAGTATTTTGCAGGTCTGCAAAAATACTGAGTGTTTGCAAAGTCCGCTCGAGCGTAAGAAGTGTCGCTCGAGCAGAGGAGCAAAAATCTGGACAACAAAGGTTTGAAAATCAAGTAACCAATCTGTTCCAAATAAGACCAATACAATCTAAAAACCAAATTTAAGGAAGAACAAGATGGAAAAGACATGAACAACCATACGAGGCAATGAAACTCGAGTCCAAAACACAAAAAGGGTCGGGTCTAAACCAGAAACGTTATAGGATGTCGCTTAAAATCAACATCACTAACTGAAGCCTTTTTCCTAGTGACCTTGGCTATTTTGTTCGGAGTCTTAACAAAGTTGTTTGGGACATTCATGTGATTTTCAATTTGGAAAGTGTCAATATTGGTGACTTGATTAGGGGCTAGAATATGAGTACCGAAGCCTATACTTGTAATCTGAAGATTGTCAAACTTATTACTTGCATCATCCATCACCTCGTCGTCTGCCATTGCATGTACATTCGACTTCTAATTTGGAATACGACCCCGCTACGTAGCTCGAAACTTGATGGCTCGAATTTGGCTCGACACCAAAACGACGTCGTTTTGGTGTCTTTTTTTTTTTTTCTTTTTTCTTTTTTCTTGTGTTTTTGTTGCAAAAGGAAGAAGAAAAAAAAGGGAGAAGAAGAAGAATGGTGGGTCTACAGATCGGGAAGAGGGGGAAGGAGGAGAAAGAAGGAGAAGTGGAGGGGAGGGGGCCATAAAAATCAGGCTGGAGGAGGAGGTGGGGCTGCGAGGAGCTGCGGCGAGGCTGTGACGGAGGAGGAAGAAGAAGGACTGGAGGAGAGCTGCGATGACGGCAGGAGCTGCGACGACCTCTCCTCTCTCTTTCTCCCTCTCTCCTCCTCTCCTCTTTCGAGCCATTTTTTCGAACCATTTTTCGAGCCAATTTCTCGAGCTACCAATCTTTTTCCTTTGAAATATATAGCGATGACAAAACTGACTTCTCTTTCGAACAAGGAGGATTTGTAATTGCGTCTTGAATTTTCACAGTCACCATGGCAAATCCAAATTTATGAAAGAATTGAAACCTATGCCCTTTTGCAATTGGAGAGAAGGTATCTCGATGTAATAGCAAATAGTCCCTACCCAAACGAACTGGTTTGGAGTGCCGCAAATAAGGTCTGTTATAATATTGTACCTTCTTATTAGTGGAAGGAAAAGGACTTGAATTTGAGTTTGAATTAATTGAGGGAATTGAAAAAGAGATATTAGATGGGAAGTTGAATTAAAACGGTTAGGACAACCCCGCTAAAAAACTCCCGAAAGAACAAAGTTGAGGTGGTGTGAGATTAACTGTGAGATATTGACTTAAGAAAGTCAGGGAAGGACGTACAAGGGATGAGTGGTAGAGATGTCAGAAAAAAACGGGAGGAGAAGGCCAGAGAGATAGATTCATCGCCGAAAGTGGGAGCTGATGGCATCCAAAACACTGTCGGTGTGTGAAATGATGGCGGAACCTCCCTCTCGCCCTTGAGAGTTTGGATCTAAAATGAGAGGATGAGAATGAGAATGAGAGTGTTTGAGCTTTGTTGGAGTATAATCGGAAATCACCTCGCCTCATTCCAGCATTCTAAGTCGTCACTTATTGTCTTATTCTTCTTCTGTGTAATTGGCCTTTCACATTTTCGCCCCAACATATATATATATATATATACGACAATACTAGGTAGCTCAAAATTTTGTGGCTCAAATGGCTTAAATCTGTCAAAACGACGTCGTTTTGACAGATTTTGAGTGTAAAACGACGTCGTTTTAACAGATTTGAGCCATTTGAGTCACAAAATTTTGAGCTACCAAACATTTTCCTCATGTACACGGGTTAAACCCCTCAATTGTCTCTTTCTCACATTCTCTCTCTCTCTCTCTCCCTCCTCCCTCCATCTTCAAACCCTAACCCTCTCTCTCTAACCTCTCAAAATCGGCCTCCATCGTCCGACGCCGTCATAGTGGAAGACCTGAGGGTGTGAAGCGAGCCAGAGACGAGGGGTTCTCTCTCTTTCACTCTCCTCACTATTATCTCTGTTCTCTGTCTCACAACCCAGAACCACCATTGTTGGACTTTCAAATCAGCCTTAGATATGGTCCATTACGGCTGGAGTCATTTGTACACCTCAAAGATCAACGGCTCTCTCTCTCTCTCTCTCTCTCTCCCTCAAATCTCAGTCGATCTCCCCTACCGCCCGATCGAGAAGCCGTCGCCGATCTGAGGGTTTTTGGATCTACTGGATTTGTGGCAAATCTGAAATCTGAGGTCTCTTAAATAGATTACGGATCTAAGGAGCTCTGGACCCGAGAACGACGTTGATCTCCCTCTTCTGACGCCGCCGCCTCTCTCTCTCTCTCTCTCTCCTAAACACTATTCTCATTTTTGAACTCTGCGGTACCATGATCTCATGTTGTTTTGTCCAAATCACAATTCTTGCTCTCTGCGGGATCTTATAAATGCAAGCGAGGTAGTGGATTAAGAGTTTTGCCTCTGCAATTGAGCCTCCAACTAAGGTTTCACTATGGTAATCACTCTCTTGTCTCTGTCTATGTTTATATTTGTATATATTGATTTCGATGTTATTTTGTCCTGTATAATTTTCACTCCAAGTCAATCTTCAGAAGCAATAAGTTCTAGTTGTAGTATAATTGAAATCTTTGTTGTAGTATAATTGAAATCTTAGCTTCATTTTGTACAGATAATGGCTCAGATCTCTTCTGCGAGGTATTCATTTGTTAATTTCTCGTCATCTTCTTGGTGACGGATCTTTGGTTGTTTTGATGGATCTTGGAGTATCTGTGTGAAAATTTGAGTAACAGATCTTGGAGTATCTCTGTGAATTTTCCATCTAGATCTGTAATGTGTGTGAATATGATATGAAAACATGTGTTATTGATTAGTTTTTATTTTATTTTAATTGTTTTGTTATTGTTATGATGGTAAGATCTAGATGGAATGCCATTTGTTTGATTGAAACTGAGCAAGTTCAATATTTTAGCTAAACATTTTCAACGGATCATGTATTTGTGCGTAACGGGAGTCCTGGTTCAACAGATAAGAGAAAAAGTGGATTTGGGAAAGAAGTCCAACAGATCTGTAAATTTCAACATATAAAAGAAAGGGTAATGATACATCCCACTAAATGTGGTGCTCTAAAGCACCACTAATGAGTTGGCAAGAACTTTAACCAAAAAAAAAAAAAAAACACAAGACACAACAGTGGGTCCCGTCTACTGCCACATCACTAGTGGTGCTTTTAGAGCACTACTTTTAGTGGTCTCAAGCATTATTGTAAAAGAAGGAAAAATAAGTTTAGTAAATTTTAACAGATAAATTTTTGAACAAATAATTTCAACAGATCATGGAAATATGCTATGTAAATTTCAACATATAAGAAAAAATAAGTGGGTAAATTTAACAGATAGATTTTTAAATAGATAATTTCAATAGAACATATAGGGAAACAAATTCAATAGATAAAGCAAATTGAACAGATAGTCAAAATATTTGAACAAATATATATAAATTTGAACAGATAGACAAAAAATTTGAATAGATAGAAAATAATTTGAACATGTAGATATAAATTTGAACAGATAGTTAAAAAAAGTTCAAGATAAAAAAAAAGTCAACAGATAAATTAAGGGATAAAATTGAAAATAAAATGTAGGGGTGAGTATGGTCTAGATTGGTCTGGATTGGGGTAAAATTAAGATCAATCTGATACCTACGGTTTCTAAAAAATTGGAACCAATTCAATCCGTTTAAATCATGGGATCAATCTGAACCAACCCATTTAAATACGGATTGATCGGGTTAGGATCATGGATTCACATAATTAAAAAACAAAAAAAATACAGAACATTTTAATTTCATAAAGACATAAACATAACATCATATTAGTTCTATAATAGCAACATATCTTTCTATAATAACGACATACTGCAAAATTTAAACAACCATAAGAAAATTGGTTCCACCATAAGTATTTACAAATTAAAAATAAAAACTAACAAACAAAAGTAATAAAATAAGATACTTTGTGAGTTTTTAAGTTTTATATGGAATAACAGAAGATATTATGCGGGATGGTGTATAATATAAATATAAGCTATTTGTATATGGTTAGGATCGGTTCCAATTCGGAACTGTGGAGTTCAATCCGAAATCGATCCGTGGGCTATAGATTTTTAATTTTTCAATCCGGAACTGAACCACGAATTCAAAAAATCAGTCCAAACCTACCGGATTGGACTGGATCAGATCGGATTATGAATTTCACGAATTCCTTACTCATTCCTAATAAAATATCTTTTAAATCAAATAAAAGAACTTCTCACTAAACTATCTCATAAATGGTGCATCTCTCACCAATAAAAAAATGTTAATGCTTTATATCATCTTTAAATTGGATTTATCACCAATTTACTCATATATTATTAGTTGTTATTAATTGTGTAATAACTACATATAAATAAATGAACCAATGGCAAGTATTTATATAGGATGTGATATAAAAAAAAAGTAAAAAATTGGTGACATCTAACATTTTTCTAATATAAAATTTATAAAAATATTTTTTAGCATAATATTTAGAGTGACAAATCAAATATTTTATTTTTTTTTTTAGAAAAAAAGGTAAAGAAAATAGTGATATAAAATTTCAAGCAATTACTTAAAAAGATTATATTGAAATATACTTTTTTTATTTATTTATTAGAGGTATAAGTATAATTTTTCAAAAGTTGAGAGGGGGGGCATGTGACCCCCTGGGCCTCACGTGCCTTCGCCCCTGGTGATGAGACTTATTACATCAATAATATGCTGATACATGAGGTGTTAAATGTGATATAAAAATGTGAACTACTCGTTTAGCATAGCAAATTTTAGGGCTAAAAGACTATTTTAATCACAAAAAGAATAAGTTAAAAAATCGATAGGACAAAATGTTACATCCAAACCAAAATCATTTAATTTTTTCTCTCATAAAAGTCAAAAAAGCTAAAAAGTCTAGGCTTTTTGGCCCCAAGCTAAAATAACCAAAAAGTTAAAAAATCAAAAAGCCAACCAACATCCTAAATGAACCCTTAATCAAGTTATTTTATATTCATCATTATAAAACTCTCAAATCTTGATATCTAAATTTATAAATAATACATTGTTAGGCGGTTGAAGTACTAATAAATCCCAATTTGTGAACTTATGCACTAGTTAGTCCTGTGTTTTTTTTGTTAAACCAAAAGGTCATAAAACAATCAGATTGACATATTTGTCTTCTTTCATGTGCTTTTTTATGTGTTTAATGGGGGTGAATGTGGAATTTTGTTGTGGGTGAAATTACATTTTTAGACATAAAGTGCACCATAGACATTTTTTGCTTTCCCTCTTTTTGATTGAATGTTTGATCTACATATGGAAACATTGTCAAGAAACATTCTCACATTAAAACATTTCCATATTAGGGGATTGGAACACTAGATACAATTGAGGGTTTTCCAGAGAGTTGTTCGCATAAATTCCATATTTGTATATTCGAATGAAACCCTAATTTGAGGAACCTCTTCGCCGACGGACCACCTTCAACAATAGTCGATCAATCTTTACTAGTGAGGGTTTGACGTCGTCGTCTCCGGAGACATACATACAGATACATTGGACAATGTTCGTCGTCGTACACACCGATTACGTCATTGCCGTAATTTCAAACATCAACAATGAAAGACGAAGGTGTGTTATGTTTTACACTTTAATTGTTGATGTGTGCTGCAATTTGTTACCCTTTATTTGTATTCAATTTTGGTTTTGTGGTTTGAGTCGTCGTTTCATGCCCTAATTGGTTGATGTAATATGTAATGTGAGATTTGGGATAAATTTAACATTGTGCTTTTGATATATGATGATTCACATACATCGAATGTGTACAATTAAAGGTGATGTTCATATGGTTTTAATGTTATGGTATTGTGTATTGAATGTTAATAGTTAGAGTTATCTATTAGTTTATAGTATAAGGGGTATGTTGATATTATTGTGTATATTTATAGTCGGAATAATGCCCTGTTTGGACGTAGGATATGCATTTTGTTGTTGTGGTAATTTATACGTGTGGGTGTTGTTAACATCATCCATCCAATACAGGCAACGGGGTTTTGCGTCTCGACATTGATTGTGCATGTTGGTTTTAGAGTGAGATCGGCGGATACATGGTTATGTTTCCCGTGCGCCGTACCAACATGTTCAATGTGGAAAATATGTTGTGTACTATAAGTGTGTGTCTTGCAGTATGGTATTTCATGTCGTAATGTTTGTGATTTATGTTGGATATGTCGTAATATGCTTAGTGTGTGATGTGGTACGTCGTGATATTTCCCAAAAAAAGCAAAATTGATTCTCATGTTACTAGCAATTGAAACCCATCCACCCTATATCACTCTACAAAAATCAAATACACAAAAATGGAAATGTAAAACGTTACTCTCTCAATCATTACACACAAATAAGTAAAAAAGAATTCACCAAAATCATAACAAGAGTATGTAAACTCCACTCATGCCAAATTAAAGGAACATATTCCTCACCAATTAAATAAGATCAAATGGTTTATAAGAAAAAATACAGAACTAAATTGATTATCATTCCCTAATTTGAGATTTACCGGTAATTTCTCTTGGTTAGACTTCAAGCGAGCATTCTACTATTTTACCAAATAAGCTATTATGTGGCTTATATATACGGGGGTGCTTTGGGAAGATAAAGCTAGTTTTTTTGACTTTTTTTTTTAAAAAAATGTAAAAAATATAAGAGATAATATAATTCAAAATGGGTTAAAAGCTGAAAGATGACTTTTAACTATCTTTTCAAAATAATTCATATATTAGCTAAATAAGTCAAATAGTTAAAAAATTATTTGTCATCAACTAAAACAAAAAATAAAAAGGAACCTCAATTTTTTCGTTAACAAAAAATATCACTTTGTTCGATTTGTAATTTTTAAAAATAATTTTATGATTTTTTAATTTAAATATGTTTAAAAAATACAAAATCTGTACAATTTTAAAAAATAATTAAATATAATAAAATATGATTTTTTTTTGTATTGAATGAATTTTGAAAATAATTTTTATAATTTTTATGTATTTAGATTAAAAAAATTTAAAAATTAAAAAAAAGATTAAAAAATTTAAAAAAACAAAAGAATTCAATAAAAAACCAAAAAAGCCCCTCCTTCCTCCGTAAGCTTTCCTTCCTTTTTTTTTTTCGGTCAAAAACCATGGCGGTTGGTACTTGTGCTATATAAAAATCTCGCAATTTCAAACCCTTCACTTCACAGAAGAAGAAGAAGAAAAGTACTAAAAAACGAAGCTTGAAAATGGGGGATAATACTGATACTGATACGAAGTTCAGCGTGATGTGTAGTCTCTTCACATGGATGCAGAAGACCAAAACATCAACAAAAAAGAGATCCAAATTCCGCAAGTTCATCGACACCTATTGCAAACCCTGCGACTACTTCAGTGCCATCAGGTTGATCCTCCCTGGTCTTGATCGAGAACGCGGATCGTACGGCCTCAAGGAGTCTGTGCTCGCCACTTGCCTCGTTGACGCCCTCGGCATGTCTCGGGAGTCTGAGGACGCCCTCCGCCTTTTCAATTGGCGGAAAGCCGGCCCCAGGGCTGGCGTCAATGCCGGCAACTTCGCCCTCGTTGCGGCTGAGGTGGGTTTTGTTTTTGGTCATTGGGTTGTTTCAATTTCAAGTATATAATTTCTAGTTTTCTGGCTCATTTGGTTGTTTCAAGTATGTGAATTGGGCAAATGCGGGTTTTCATGCCATTTCAAGTTTTCTTGCTCAGGTATCTGCATTGGGCAATTTTAAAATGTGGCTTTTTATGCAATTTCAAGTTTTTTGGCTCAATTGATTGTTTCAAGTATCTGTATTGGGTTATTTTAAAATGTGTGGTTTTCATGCAATTTCAAGTTTTCTGGCTCATTTGGTTGTTTCAAGTATATCTTTATTGAGCAAAGGTGCGTTTTTCAGGCAATTTCAAGTTTTCTGGTTCATTTAGTTGTTTCAAATATCTGCATTGGGCAATTTTAAAATGTGCGTTTTCAGGCAATTTTAAGTTTTCTGGCTCATTTGGTTGTTTCAAGTATCTGCATTGGGCAATTTCAAAATTAGCTTAGGTATGAATTAGATATTTTATGCATTTAGGTCTTGTTTGGCAAGTGCCTTTTTAGTCAAAAAGTCAAAAAATTACTAAAAAGTCAAAAAGCCAACAACCTATACAAAAAAGTCAAAGATTTCATTTTCTCTCTGATTTTTACACATCTTTTCGTAAAAAGTCAAAAAGTCATCCAAAACATATAGTTTTTTTTATATTATATCTTAGCTAAAAAGTCAAAAAGTTACTAAAAAAATATGTTCCCAAACGAGGCCTTTGATTTATTTTATTTTATTTATTTGAATTTTAAATTTATGGGATTTCAAGTGTTCTTGGTCATTTTTGGTTGCTTCAAATATCTGCATTGGGCAATTTTAAAATTAGCTTATTTTCGAACTAGGCTATGAAAATCAACCAGTGCAATGGGCTTGTTTGGTCAGCTGTGTAAGTATTCTTTTTCTAATCATAGTATCTATCTACTAAGTCCATCCCTTTACTTGTTAATGTTCCAATTTTTAAGTTCCCATGTGTACCCTACTTTATTGGTATAGTTTTTTTTTACCCATGGTCGTCGATTAAAGTGTGGGAACCCTTGCCTACTCCTCGCCACATCCTGGCGCTGGTGCCAATGTGGCGTGTGCATATCACTTCGAGGGAGCCGCCTAGATAATACTTTCCTATTTAGAATATGTATAATTTAGATATATGTTTTCTATTACTAAACCCCAAAAAAAAAAAAAAAAAAGAAACGTAAAAACCTAAAAAAAAAAAAATCCGTATAGTGAGGTGTAATTTTCCAACCTAATGGGCCATACTATGAAAGTCTCAGAGAATGATTGATGTCCTGATGGGTTGCTTGTCATGGTATCCAACTCGTAGTCTGGTATGTATTGGAATTTCGAAATTGGATTCTTGTTGTTGGCATGAATAATTTGTCTTATGTGTCCAAAATGCAGTGCCTGAGGAGTGGGAGTGAGAGTGACAGAGTGTCATTCCTTTGGAAAAAGTTGTGATTCACTATAATTGCCATTCAAATGCCAACCAGAAGTCTTATTTACTTGAGTTGCTTCAAACGCAGATCTCACTATGAGATTGCTTGGTATGTTGTAACAATTCATGGAGTAGGTTCTGTTGTGAAGTTTACTAATTTGAAAGGTATAAGTTAGATCGATTATTCAAATTTATATTGTATGACAGTTATCTTGTGAAAGCACATGGATCCTTGAAACCTATACCTCAAGTATAGTTGTGGAAGGTATCTGCTTATCTCTGAGAGAACAAAATAAAATAAAACAAAGGTCTTTCCAAGGTTCTATAAGGTCAGCATATGTACATGTCAAATCCTGTGGATTTGGTGCTCTAATAATTCATTTCCGTGTTACTTGTTGACAGGTGCTGCAACGCAGGCAGGGCATGACTTCTGGTGGCCTAACCATTAAGGAATTAAATGAGTTGCTTGATCGCTTGGCTTCAAGTGAAAATAGGTAATCCTGGTGTTTGTAGCCATTTTATTAGAGTTGTTTTTTGCCAAATGATGAAGAGCAGTTTTCCATGTGCATTTGTTAACTGAACTGAACACCATTTTTTTGGGTATGGGTATGCCAATTGCCAAGTTAGAATTATATTATACAAGGAAATGTATTTGTCTGAAAAGAGAGCTCTTAATTTTCAATTAATATAAACTTTGGCATGCATGATAGGTATGGAAGGAGCATGTCATCTGATTGTCAGATTAATGAAATGTCAAAATAGCAAGAAGCCATAATGGGGGTGTAAGAATTAGAAGTTTTACCCCATTGTTAAGTTGATTGTTGGTTTTTCTAAAAGCCCTCTGTTAGTAAAAATTGTGTTAGCCCCAAATCGACAAGATCAAACAATAATTTAAACCAACAATCCAACCAAAGAAACCATGCAACTGTGTAATTGATTTAAATGCCTCAAAAGTATGAGGGCTTTTCTGGAACAATTGACAGTTACAAAGTAAACAAAAAGTAATTCCAAGATGAAACTAGTAAAGTTCACAAAAGTTTACAAGGATATGAATTATAGAGAAGCTACTCCTAAGTTATAGAACTATTCCTAAGTCTAAAAGCTACTACTTCTTTGTGTTGTTGATGATGTCCTCTCCTTAGAAAATCTCTGGTTTTTATATCATCCTCCTCCTTTTTCTGGCCCATGATCGCATGACTTTGAACATGTAACTGGCCCTGCCTCAATTGCTCTTGCAATTGCCTCCTCACTCCAAAGCCTTCAACCTTCCTCGAATCCTTAACCTTCCCTGTCGAACTACTCTCCCTCCATGTTGCCATATGTCCCTCAACATTTTAGGCTTCCCATTGACAGAGAAAAATCTTCATTCTGCACATGTCCCTTTTTGCAAGCCACCCACTAAGTCCATGACTTAGTCTGATAACTGCTCCACCATTTCCAAGCCTTCAAACTTTAACAATTCTTCATATTTCTTGTCGAACTAACTTTGCTCCACACTGCCACATGCTCCTCATCATTTTGAACACTAAATCGCCAAAGAAAACCTTTTCTTCACAAACCAATTTTCCTACAAACTGGCCCACTAAGCTAGCAATTGGCTCTAACTTGTAAGTGCTCCATAACTGCCTCCATGATTTCACACATGTAATCATCTCCACTATACCATGTGACCTATGAAGCACGGACACCTCTCCGAGGGCTCCGTACCAGTGTCAGACACGTGTCGGACACGGACACGCGTCGGACACGCAGTGGACACGTGTCCGACACGCATGAGAGAGTGTCCCAATTTTTTTTTAATTTTTTTACATCCGGACACGTTTTGGACACGTTATAGACACGTTTGGGACACGCGCGGGGGTAATTTCACAGTTTAATGAAAAATTTTGGGGTCAATTTGAAAATAACCAAAAGCAGATCAAATTTGCCCTAATCTGTTTAGCCCTAATCTCTTGGAATCGACTATGGAATAGAAGATAAACAGCTGAGAAAGAGAGAAAGAAAGAAGACCTGACTTCGTCGTACGTCGTCTCTCGTCGATCGTTGCTCCACGTCGGACGTCGGTCGTCTGTCGTCAGTCGGCGATCTTCGATCTTCAGTCGATTTGCAGGTACGACTCTTCGATCTTCTTCGATCGCTCCCTCTCTCTTCGATAGCCCTCTCTCTCTCTGTCTCAGCCTCTTCTTTCTTTTATTTCTCTCTCTTCGATAGCTCTCTCTCCCTCTCTGTCTCAGCCTCTTCTCTTTCTTTCTTCGTTTATTTCATTTTTTTTTCCTTTTCCTTTTATTTTGATTTTGATTTTGATTTTGATTTTTTTTTTCTTTTATTTTTTTTCTTTTATTAATTTAATTTTTTCTTTTCTTTTTCTTTAATTCTGATTCTGATTCTGATTTTGTTTTTTTTTTCTTTTATTTTTTTTATATTCTGATTTTATTTTTTCTTTTCTATTATTTGAGGATATAATTTTAATAATGTATGTTTATTAATTTTATTATAGGGACCAATAATAATTTTAATAATGTATGTTTATTAATAATGTATGTTTATTAATTTTAATAATTTTATTAATTTTATTAATTTTGATGGAATGCTATTTTATATTAATTGTGAACGATATATATGATGTTAAATCAATTAAATGTTTATTTTTTATAATTTTAATAGTGTTATTTTGTATATTTTATTACCTTTATTTGATTTTTTTTAATAATTTTATGACATATAATAAATAAAATTAATTATATATATTGAACGTGTCCCCGGCGTGTCGTGTCCCCTATTTTTTGAAAATTTGCGTTTTTGCGTGTCCGTGTCGTGTCCGTGTCGTGTCGCGTGTCCGTGTCCGTGCTTCTTAGCATGTGACCCTTTGATCACAAACTGATTTGTACACCTATTGATAAGGAATTTTAGCAAAAATAGGTGCAAACACCCTCCCAGATGGGTTTAGGGTGGCTTGACTTTTCTATGTCATTTTGTCATTCTAAGGTTATCAGCTTAGTTATACCCTATTCCTTACTATTACAGCCCATGTTAATTTTAGTTTCCACATTCCCTTAGCATTATTCTTGATGGCCATGCAGTTTTTTCTCATCATTATAGTTATCAGTCTTCATTATGCATGGCCAAACCGTCTTTTTGGTCTTTTCTCATTGTTTCTCCAATTGGTGTTATTTTTTTGGGTATGTTTATTTGGGTTTCTGTTCTATCTTGCTTCACATCCATCTCAACATCCTCATAGACAATGCTCCTTTCTATTCTTCCAACACTCTTGAGGATCATGGCTAGTTTTATGAATTATAACTATTGTGTTTTTTTTTTGTTTTGTTTTGTTTTGTTTTTTCCTGCTTCATGGCATGGCCAAAAAAAATTCCTCTACTAAAACCACCTTTCTTCAATTCTATTCTATGAGCACCATCTCTATGCCCTCAATACCGATGAGTAATCGAGTGTAGAATGGGAAGTTCACTTTGCTTACCTATCTCAAACTTTCTTGTTTTTAGAATTCCTCTTCAAAATTTTTGTATTGGTATCAACCGTTGCTTTAGGTTTTGGATTTTCCATCAATGAAACCAATGTTCTCAGTGAAGAGAATAAGCTAAAGAAACTCATCAATGCTTAATGCTAATTCTTGATGTGAGGTCATTTGATTGGAAATTCATTGGCTTTTCCTATGATTTTTGTTAGTATAGTCACCATGCCATTTCATATGTCCTTTATCTCAACAAATCTATTTGTTACTACTTTATTTTCTAAGATCCACCATTATTATATATGTTAGGGCCCCTGTATCGGCTTCTCCAAGTTTCTAACAATTATGCGATCCTCTCTTTCTCTCTATTAGTGTCGTAAATAAGCATAGAACTGGCATGATTTACCTTATTTAGGACACAAAAATGTCATGGCTTTGGTGGTGTTTAATAAAGTTGAAAATTAAGTATTGAAAATAGAATGCTGAATTTTTTGAAAAATTGTTTGATAAAAATTTAAGTGCTGAACTAAAAACAAGTTATTTGATAGGTATAAAATCAAATTTGAAATTTATTATTTTCAAATTATATATTTATTATTTTCAAATTATATATTTTAATTTTTACATTGTGGTGGTGGCGGTGATGGTGGTGGCGGCGGCGTGGCAGCGACGGTGGCATGGTAGCGTTGATGGTGATGGTGGAGTTGATAGTAGTAACGATGGTTATGGTAGTAAAATGGTGATAGTATTTATGAGAACAATGACAATGGTGTAGTGGTGGCGGTGGCATGATAGTGGTGGTGGTAGTGGTAGTGACGGCAGCGACAGCGGCAACAAGTTTATAATAGTTTATATCGATACCTATATTTAGTATTTATAAATTCAGTTAGTATTAAGTAAGTTACATATGACTTAAAATTTTCTTAAGTTTTAGCCTGCACTTTAGGAAGTATTTAAAATTTTAAGTGATATTAATTGTAGTTATCAAACATGCTTAATTGATTATCATTTAATACATTCAGTTTTAAGTACTGAATCAAGTTATTAAACACTATACTTTTCAGCTTATGCTTGAATGGATTCTTTGATTTGCTGTTTTAATAATCGCCGCTTACTTAATATCTCCTCACCATGATTATGAGACTTTATCATCTACATACATCTAAACAAAAATTATATTGACAAAGCCATATATTGTTATTATTATTCATTTCATATTTGGATTTTATTTTTTAATCTTATTTTGAGCTAATTTATTTGGTCTCTAAGAAGTATGAACACTTCTAAGAAGGTAAAAGTTTAAAACAATAAAAGTTTGAATACAATATCTAATAATAAAACAAAAACAATGTAAACGTATTCTTCTCCTTTAGACTTCAAAAATGATTATTTTGATTTAAATATTTATGTATATATATAATAAATATAAAAAATTATATATTTTACACGTGCCCTCTACATGTTAATGTCCTACATTTTTTAAAAATTTTCTTGTCGGCGTGTTCGTGTCGTGTGTTGCGTTACATGTCTGTGTTGTGCTTCTTAGTTTGGTCTTAAACAATTGTGATGCGTGTAAATTTAAGGTGCTAAAACATCACTTTATATTTTGCTTTGAAGCATTGTATAGTTTTGATGCCTGTAGGTTTCTGGATTGATATTTTCCCTATATCACTCTCTTTCTCTTTCTTGTCTTTGTTTTTCTTTTGCACCCATATTTTAAAAGTAATATCCCTATTTTCTACTGACCATCCTTTTAAAATATTGCAACAGGGCGGAGAAGACTTCTGTTCTTTCTGATCTAATCAAGAAAACTAATGCACAGGAAATGAAGTGGATTGTAATCATAATTTTAAAAGGTTTTTCCATTTTCTTATCATGATTTTATGTTGTTTACCTTTGTAGCCTGTTCAACCAATAAGCTTCTCCTTTGCCCTCTCCCCTCTCTGGCCAATACAGATCTGAAGTTGGGAGTTAGTGAGAAGAGCATCTTTCATGAATTTCATCCAGATGCTGAAGACTTGTTCAATGTCACATGTGACTTAAAACTGGTTTGTGAGAAGTTGAGGGATCGAAATCAACGTCATAAACGTCAGGTTTGTTCCAGTCTTGGATTGAATCTCCTTCTTTAGCATGTTGCTGTAGCCAAGAAAATAGTGTCTGGTGTGACCTTTTGAACATGTTTTGTCGGACCATTAGTGTGTCACCTTTGTAAATTTGGCGTAATTGTATTTGTGAGGTGAAGCTTGAGAGTAATTTTATTTTATTGTGATGGATATATCACATGCTCTGCTCTTCGTTGAGGAGTTTTTCCTTCAACCGAGTTTTTTTGTTTTTTGTTTTTCCATTAGTACTAGAAGTGAGGTATCTAACAAATATATTCCTTTATGCTGCAATATTTTGAAACTTTTTAGGTGTCTTTTGTTTGTGTGGTTGTCAAGACCTAGTTTAAATATGCTCTCTTTTATATTACAGTATAACTGCTTAGAGTTTATATGAGGAATATTTTGGATAGTTCTTCAGGGTTGTATGACGATAGTATACACCTCTTTTCTAGTGTGTTAAAGAATAGAAGCCAGCTAATGGACTATGAAGTGGTAATGAAGAAACAAATGTGCTACCCCACTGTTGCTTGGCAATGCAAATCAATTACTAATTTTCCATGTTGCTGTACTTCTTTAGAGATGATTTCTTTCTGTGTGCACATGCATACATATATATGTATACACCTACCATTTGCCTATGTTATGCTTTTCTTTAGTTTCTGATATTGTTTCTGGCACATACTTTTCAGGACATAGAAGTTGGAAAACCGGTGCGTCCTCAACTGGCTATGAGGGTTGGTAATGCAAACACTGCATGGAAAAAGGTTTAACATCTGAGTTTAATGCCATCCACTATGATTTCAAAATCAGATGAGCAAAACATTTGAGTTTAATGTAATCCAATATGATTTCAATAGTCATATCAGCATTTTGCTTTTATGTAATCTGATAGGATTCAAAACTCAGATCATGAGTTATAAAATGTATTTTTTATGTGTTTTCTAACCAGGTATGTTAATGACACTCTTATATGTTTAAAGAAAAAATTTCCATTTAAAATGCTTGTAAAAAATAAAAGATGTTCTGGAGACAATATTCTAGGAGCTTGATAAGAAGATGGATTTTAGATTGAATATTCTTGTTGGCTGAATTTTGTTCTTCCTAGGATTTTTTTTCTCTGCTGTTTTAAATCTGTTACGAGGTTGTGTCCTAGCTCCATTAATTAATTCTGTTCCATTATACTTTTGTCCCTTTTGTCTAGCTTCATGGGAAGGAAGTAGTTGTTGAGTGCAAATTTGATGGTGACCGCATTCAAATCCATAAAAATGGGAAAGAGATACACTTCTTCTCAAGGTAGTTGCTGGCCTAGTAGTTTCAAATAATTTTCTGCTCTTTGATATTTTTTGGTTGTTTTTGTCACTTTGGTTAATTCTTTTTGTTATCTTTACATTGGAATATTTACATTATATTTCATTGATTGTCTTTGACTTCTTAAATGCTCTATTGTATCTGCATCATCTGAACTGATGTCACTATTGTTAACCCAATAGATTTTAGTTTAATGTAATTCACAATTTTATGCCATTTATGCAGGAACTTTCTTGACCATCCTGAATATGCGCATTCCATGTCGGATGTTATCATGGAAAATATTCTTGTTGACAGGTAATATTTTAACACCAACTTCACACTCAAGAACTTCACACTCACCAACCATATGATATGTGGTTACCTTTTGTTTCTTAGGATTCTGTTAGTCTGGATCATGCAGTGATGGTGAAACATGGCTAGATTGGTCAGTTGAACCACTTGACCTAAGCTTTTCAGTGTATTTGACTATAGGAATGTGCAAGCTCTCTAGTATGTATAACTCACCAGCCCTGCGCACGATACTAATATGCTTCTTGGGCTTCCAATTTTGAATAACACAGCCAATGGAAAAAAGCAAAACATTAAACCCTGAATCAGAGTTGACTGATATATAATAAACTAAAAGACAACAGTGGCACATAGAAAACATTAGGGATAGACATGGACGAGGACTATGAATATTGAAGAACAGAGCCAATATAGACAACATCCATAGGTGAACCATTTGTAGTAAAAACCGTGACACGAGAAGCAGAGATATACAATTACTTAGTGGACAAGTTAGGAGTCATTTGGTGTGAGGAGCCATAGCCAAATATCCATATAGTGAGTGATATATTGAGGTATGAGATATTTTCATTCTCGAATGTGTAGTGGAAAAGGGCAAAGTATGAGATTTATCATATCTTCAGCCTTAGAATCTAAGGGCTTGGCTGTTGAACTTGTCACACCCTTCCCTTTCCAAAGTAGAAATTTCTTCATGATTGGATCAATAAGAATTATTAGCCCCATTCAACCAAATGCTAATAGCCTGTAATTTTTCCTCAGACATGGCGAAGTAATAGAAGAGAACTGAAAACTAAAGAGAGGAGAAAAGTGCAACTTTAGCAAAAGAGGGGCAAGAAATCATATTCGGAAAAGAGGAGATGGGTATGGGTCACATATGGGCTTTGATATTGGGTTGGGTAGAGGCTTCAATGTCGAATAGAGGAGTTTGTCGAAAGCAGTTGTTGGGTCAGGTCGTGTAGTTCGGCTGTGATGGGGTTCAACAGACTGGTCAGGGTTGTTTGACAAAGGCATACATGTAACAAGGTGGGATGTGGTTGTTTGACGATTGTAACAAAGTCTGATGATGGTACGAAGGCATTCTGCAATGTTCGAAATGCCAAAACTTGGTGAGATAACAAGGAGAAAGAGAGATGATGTGAGGTGCGAAATATTGGCGTGACAAGAGGAGAGAGAGGGACAATGCAATATGGTGCAAAAAAATTGATGCAACGAGAGAGAGAGGGTTTGATTACTCTGATGGATACCATGTTTAGCTGATGCCAACTAGGTGAGGGGAAATTTATGTTGTATATTAGCAGAACATAAGCACATGTTTTTACAAAGAAATAAAGATCAAGCTCTAATTAACCTAATGACTAAAATTCCCTTATAATAATTGTTAAATAGCTAAAATACTTTTCACAGACGCATCATACTCATATTAGCTTTTTCCTTGAGGTTATGAGTTCAAGTCTCGGGGTAACCACTTTGTGCACTACGCCAAAGGTTAGGTCTGTACCCAATTTTTTCCCTCCCAAACACACATTAATGTGTACTAATTAGGCATTGTTTTATGTTTTTCAGGTGTATACTTGATGGTGAGATGTTGGTTTGGGACACATCTATGAACTGTTTTGCTGAGTTTGGTTCAAACCAGGAGATAGGTTTGTTTTGTTTTTTGTTTTATAAAAAATTAGCCCATCTTTTTACATTGTTATTATCTTATTTTTTTTCCAGTTTTAGGTGAAATTTATTTTCTTAATGGGAAGTTATTTATTTTTTGATAGCCAAGGCAGCAAAGGAGGGACTTGACAGTGACCGACAGGTTTGCTTTTGTGCAATGCCTGATATATATATATATATATATATATATTTCTGAAACTACTAATAGTTGATGTTCATGTTTTCTTCTTATGCAGCTATGTTGTATCCTTGCTTCTGATTTTTTTTTTTTTTTTTTTGGAGTTAGATATGTGACTGGCTTTTCAAGTGATGTCATTTGCTTCAGATGGTGATTCTGGAACTTGAAGCTTGTCTAATCGAATTGTGTTTGGTCTTGTTTTACCTTAACATGAGATATGGTTAGATGTTGCTTTTGACATTCTGTATGTTGGAGACACTAGTGTTATTCATCAAATCTTGAAAGAACGTCATGAGCTTCTTCGTAAAGTTGTAAAGCCTATAAAGGGTCGGTTGGAAATTTTGGTTCCTAATGGTGGTCTTAATGATCATCGGACTTCTGGTAAGAGATGCTTCTAGAGATTGACGTTCTTTTCTTATTGCTGAATTTAGTTAACATTTTTCTATCTATTGTATTCATCCATCAGAGTGCTGAAAAAGTTTTGGGTACACTCAACCTGTCCTAATGATTTTTTCGCTAATTTGTTTGTTGACATTGTAGTTCTAGTTTTCTTTGTACTGTTGTGGTAGTATTCCATTTCATTCAAATTAGGGTTGTAACTCAAGCCTTTGGGTGGGTCACGTCAATCCAGGTGTAAGCGTATGCGCAAAATGGTCCCCGACAGCTAGACTCTAGTTCACATTAAGCTCTTTTCTTTTAACCTTGAGCTCCATTTAGGCTGCTAGACTCTAGTTCACGTTAAGCTCTTTGTTCTCACTTGACCTAATCATGAGTCTGAATGTTTTTTAAAAGCCTGCAATTGACCAGGTCAGTAATGTTGATATGTGTTAATCCATCTTGCGGTTATATTGCAGTGCCTGCTGACTCTCATTAGTATCAACTGATTCATGAGATGATGTAGCTCCTCTCTGTCTCATTCTCATTGGTATCAACTTCAGTTGATAAACTTCAGGAGTCTGTTTACTTCTTCTTCTTTATTTTTTTTGGGGTCAATAACTGCTAGTTGCTACAAGTGTTTTGCAAGAGTAGTGTATGGTAATGTTGTTATGAGAAGAAGTGTAACCATATGTTGATTGAATTTCCCTCCACTTACATTAATTTGTGCTGTATTTTCGGTTTTGGGGAAGTAGTTTCGTCTAGTTTTTTCAACTATAAATTAGGCTCTACTCTGTTTCTTATTGCTCACTTCTCACCATACAGGGGAACCGCGCTGGTCGCTTATTGCTTATAATGTGGATGATGTTGAGAGATTTTTTAAAGAAACTATAGAAAACAGGTTAGCAAACTATACATTTGTTTGTGTCCTACCTTATATTTACTCCATTAGAGCTTTATTTACATTGTGTGTATCATAGAAGTCTTTTTGAGTCTTGTTTGGCCATTCCTGGATAGCTGGCCACATAAAGTACTGCATAGTGATATTCCTTCTGTATTAGGTTAATATGACCACAGTAGATCTTTAACTAAACTAAAGCCTTAAGTCCCATCAAATGGGATCGGCTATATGAATCTTTCTTCTCCACTAGACTCTATCAACAGCCATTTGATTAGTGAAATTAAGGAGATTCATATCTCTATTTACTATACTCGCTCATGTCAATCTAGGTCTGCCCCTTCCCTAACACTTCCATGTACCGTCACTGTATCACATCTCTTCATTACTGTCTCTGTTGGTCTCCATTGTATATGACCAAACCATCTCAATCTATTTTCTCTCAACTTATCTTCTATCGGTGCTATTTCTATCCATTCACAAATATACTTATTCATAATTTTGTCTTTTCTAGTCTTGTTGCACATCCATCTTAGCATCCTCATCATAGCAACACTTATCTTATCTACATGTTATTTCTTAGTTTCCCAACATTCTGACCCATACAACATCGTTAGTCTAATAGCCGTTCTATAGAACTTTCCTTCTAGTCTTGTGGGTACTTGTTTATCACACAGTACCCCAGACGCACTCCTTTACTTAAGTCACACTGCTTTAATTCTATGGATCACATCCGTTCCAATCTCCTTAACTGTTGTGATCATCGATCCTAAATATCGAAAATATTTATTCCTAAGTAGTTCTTAGTTCTCAATTCTCAAATTTCACTTCTCCTGTACTTCCATTGTTACTGTTACTAAAATTACACTGTATGTACTATGTCTTAATTCTGGTTATCCTAAATCTTTTAAATTCAAGTGCTTCTCTCCAACTCTCCGAGTTATTTTTAACTTCTTCTCTAGTCTCATTTACTAACACAATATCATTTGCAAAAAGCATACACCATAGCACATCATCCTCAATATTTCTCGTCAACTCATCCATAATGTTAAAATCCACCTACTCTCCACCTACTTCACCCACTTAAACCTACTCCACTAAACCTAACCCACTACACCACTACCACCTCCACTTCACCTACTCCTTACCTACTACACACTCACCCTCTTCTATATATAGGAATCATGAATCATTGTAATAGATATCAACATTATATCAATCAATAATAATACATACAATTTATTCTCTCTCTTTCTCTATACATTATTTCTTACACATAACTAAAGCAAAAAGAAAAGAATTTAAGGTTAATCCTTGATGTAATCCCACAGTAATTGGAAATTCACTAGTCTCTCCAGCAGGTGATCTAATAGTGATCATCACACCTTCATACATGTCCCTAATTGCATCAATGTACCCTTTTCTCACTCCTTTCTTTTCTAAGACTCACCAGATTGTATCCCGAGTCATTCTATCATATAGCTTCTCAAGATCGATAAAAATCATATGAATGTCTATTTTCTTTACTCTATACTTTTCTATTACTTTCCTTAAAAGATAGATCGCTTCTATTGTTGACCTACATGGTATAAATCCAAATTGATTCTCTAACACTTCTGTTATATCTTGCAAGCGACGTTTCATCACTCTCTCCTACACTTTCATTATATGACACATCAACTTGATTTCTCTATAATTCTTGCAATTTTGACATCTCCTTTATTCTTATAGATTGGCATTAAAATACTCTTCCTTCACTCCTCTGGCATTTTCCTAGTCAACAAAATTTTGCTAAATTACCTAGTCAACCATGCAATCCTCTTTTTATCCAAACATTTCCAAACTTCAATAGGAATATCATTGGGTCCTAAAGTTTTATTTGATTTCATCTTCTTAATTGCAATTTCCACTTCAAAGGTCTTAATCCTGCAATAGAATCTGTAGATCTTTATGAATATTAAAATGTTTTTGGAGCATGCGTTCATGTAATCTATGGGCTACAAAATTGGGTATAATTAAAATGTTTTTTCTGTAAAAAATTGTTAATAATTAAGTTTTACTTCAAGTTAGCATCCTAATCTTTTAGTTTTATTGGTTAGAAAGTGTTTCAATGTTTTTGCACCATCAAATGAAATATGATTAACATCTACTCAAATAAGGTGTATTTTTACTTTTTGCTCATTAATATGCTAAGATGAAAACACACAGAACATTGGTTCTTAAAGTGGATTCACGTTGAGTTGGTTGGTTGAATTGAGTTGTTTTTGTATTTCCTAACTCTTTGATTCCAGGGAATCCAAAGATTCCAAACCTAAAACTAAAATGTTTTTCATATGATGTGAGTGGGTGTATTCTTAAAAAATTATCATTACTGAAATGTTTTTCATATGATGCGAGTGGGAGTGTTAAGGATTATTTGGATATTTTAGTTTAATCTGTGTACTATCTATTTTCCATTATGTCAATTAACTACATGTATTAGGGTTAATTAGCTCCTGAGTTGGTTCTTCTAAACTCTCAACATCCTACATAATATTATGCCCTTGGTTTGGTTTTTGTTTTGGTTTCAGCATGAACCATCTACATAGTTGTAATCGCGCTTCAATGGGGATGTCAATATAATAATTTTCATGTTCCATGCAAGCTTTACCTCAACTTTACAAGTGATGAACATTGTATGATTATCTAGTAATATTCTTTGTTTTGTGTAAAAAATGATGTATAAAGAGAAATAGAGAATTGTATTATTGATTGATATATTGATGTTATTTTCTGTCTATTACAAATGGTTCCTTATATAGATGTAGGTGTAGTGGATGGTGTGTAGTGGATGGTGATAGTGGTGTAGTGGGTTAGGTTTAGTGGAGTAGGTGAGGTGGTAGTGGTGTAGTGGGTTAGGTTTAGTGGAGTAGGTGAGGTGGTAGTGGTGGTAGGTGATGGTAAATTCTAACAGGCCCCCGCAAACTCAAGGAGGATAGAAACTAACCAACTTGAGTTTGAAGAGAGGAACAAAACAAGAAAATACATAAAAAAAATGATAGGAGACACTGTATGGTCGTGTCAGACCGTTGGTGAAGACACTGTATGGTGGTGTCATAACGTTGTAGATGACACTGTATAGGGGTGTCATAACGTGGTAGAGGACACTGTATGGTGGTGTCAGACCGATGTAGAAGACAGTTTATGGGGTCATGTCGGACCGTTGTAGCAAAACAGTTTATGGGGTCATGTCGGACCGTTGTAGAAAAACAGTTTATGGGGTCATGTCGGACCGTTGTAGAAAAACAGTTTATGGGGTCATGTCGGACCGTTGTAGAAAAACAGTTTATGGGGTCATGTCGGACCGTTGTAGAAAAACAGTTTATGGGGTCATGTCGGACCGTTGTAGAAAAACAGTTTATGGGGTCATGTCGGACCGTTGTAGAAAAACAGTTTATGGGGTCATGTCGGACCGTTGTAGAAAAACAGTTTATGGGGTCATGTCGGACCGTTGTAGAAAAACAGTTTATGGGGTCATGTCGGACCGTTGTAGAAAAACAGTTTATGGGGTCATGTCGGACCGTTGTAGAAAAACAGTTTATGGGGTCATGTCGGACCGTTGTAGAAAAACAGTTTATGGGGTCATGTCGGACCGTTGTAGAAAAACAGTTTATGGGGTCATGTCGGACCGTTGTAGAAAAACAGTTTATGGGGTCATGTCGGACCGTTGTAGAAAAACAGTTTATGGGGTCATGTCGGACCGTTGTAGAAAAACAGTTTATGGGGTCATGTCGGACCGTTGTAGAAAAACAGTTTATGGGGTCATGTCGGACCGTTGTAGAAAAACAGTTTATGGGGTCATGTCGGACCGTTGTAGAAAAACAGTTTATGGGGTCATGTCGGACCGTTGTAGAAAAACAGTTTATGGGGTCATGTCGGACCGTTGTAGAAAAACAGTTTATGGGGTCATGTCGGACCGTTGTAGAAAAACAGTTTATGGGGTCATGTCGGACCGTTGTAGAAAAACAGTTTATGGGGTCATGTCGGACCGTTGTAGAAAAACAGTTTATGGGGTCATGTCGGACCGTTGTAGAAAAACAGTTTATGGGGTCATGTCGGACCGTTGTAGAAAAACAGTTTATGGGGTCATGTCGGACCGTTGTAGAAAAACAGTTTATGGGGTCATGTCGGACCGTTGTAGAAAAACAGTTTATGGGGTCATGTCGGACCGTTGTAGAAAAACAGTTTATGGGGTCATGTCGGACCGTTGTAGAAAAACAGTTTATGGGGTCATGTCGGACCGTTGTAGAAAAACAGTTTATGGGGTCATGTCGGACCGTTGTAGAAAAACAGTTTATGGGGTCATGTCGGACCGTTGTAGAAAAACAGTTTATGGGGTCATGTCGGACCGTTGTAGAAAAACAGTTTATGGGGTCATGTCGGACCGTTGTAGAAAAACAGTTTATGGGGTCATGTCGGACTAAATATATATATATATATATATATATATGAAAAACGAAAAGGATAAATATGAGGATAAGAAGAAGAAAAAAAATAAAATAAAATAATAACTTTGCAAAAGGTTGAGAGACATGGCATGTGGGAAAAGGCAAAAGAAAAGAAAAAAAATAAAAAAAGGAAAAATTCAAATAAGAGTGGTTTTCAATTCTGTGGGCTGGTTTTGCTTTACTATATTTATATATAGTTGGTACAGTTTGCTACTGCCTAAAGGTAGGCACGTGGGTTATGTAGAAGTCTACCTATTGGCCTCAAAAGATGAGATAGACGTGTGGAAATGATGAAGTGTGAAGTATGCTCGGTATGGCACAGAGTTGTGTTTAGTAGATATATTATATGTATTTATTTATATAATATTTTCTATGCTGCCGAATTTGAAGAAGCTGAGGTTGATTTGGGGTCTGAATATGGAACTAGCTCCATGTTTAGAGAGAGAGAGAGAGAGATAGTGGCTGAAAAAGGTTCTCATTTTCATAGCTATTTTCAACCAAATCCCACAGATCTGTGGAGATGAAAAAGGTTCTCATTTGAGTGCTCCAAAAAATGGTAATTTTCGCCTTCAAAAATCGGTGGTCCGGCTGGTGAATATTTGAAGGTTGTAACTCTTGCCACTCCGATCAGACACCGGCAACTTCAAAAAACCCTAATGTCGACGACGCAGAGTCAGCAAGGCCGAAATCCGGCGATGGACAGCAAATCAACTGTCGTTTTCCGGCCGAAATCAGCGAGAGACGAAAATGATGCCAGAAGAAGTGAGACGTTCTCGAAGGAGACGGCGACGTGGGACTGGGCGGCGAGCTTGTAGACCTCGTCGGGGAGGATGGTGGCGAGCCAGCGGCGGAGAGAGGAGGCGTCGGAGAGGTCGGCGTAGTGGAGCTTCAAGAGGGCCTTGTGGGAGTTGTGGGGGTCGATGTAGATGTGGTTGATTCGCTGGGTGTTGAAGTTCGACGACTTTTTTTTTTTTTTTTTTTTTTTTTTTTTTTTTTTTTATTTGCTACTTCTGTCGGACTGGAATTGAATTGAACTGAACTGAACGGTATGTGTAGAGGTCCGGCGGGCGGCCAAGGCGAGGCTGCCGCCCGCCGGTGAAACAGAATTACTAGCTTCTCAACCTTGCTCTGATACCATGTAAAAAATGATGTATAAAGAGAAATAGAGAATTGTATTATTGATTGATATATTGATGTTATTTTCTGTCTATTACAAATGGTTCCTTATATAGATGTAAGTGTAGTGGACGGTGTGTAGTGGATGGTGATAGTGGTGTAGTGGGTTAGGTTTAGTGGAGTAGGTGAGGTGGTAGTGGTGTAGTGGGTTAGGTTTAGTGGAGTAGGTGAGGTGGTAGTGGTGGTAGGTGATGGTAAATTCTAACATTTTGTATGGTACAGATGGTTATCATAATTACTTTTTAGATAATGTCTTCTATGTACTAATTTAAAAAGTGAGTGACCCCTAGATTGTCACCATACTGAGTTTCTTCACATGTAAAACCATTTTTTTTCTCTCTCTCTTAGAGATGAAGGTATTGTGCTGAAAGACCTTGGTTCCAAGTGGGAACCAAGTGATCGAAGTGGAAAGTGGTTAAAGTTGAAGCCTGATTATGTTCGAGCTGGCTCTGATCTAGATGTGCTTATAATAGGTAATTGTTTTTGTTTATCATCTCTTTTACTGGAAGCATTGTGTGGCATTTTTGTTGCTTATTTTAAGATTTCTTTTGAATACTTGACATAGGAGGATACTACGGCTCTGGCCGTCGTGGAGGAGAGGTGAGCATTTATCTTTGTCCTTAAGCTATTGTTTTCTGTCTCTATATTATCATTCCACTAAAATTGACTTTTGATTTGCTTTTATTATTGAAGGTGGCTCAATTTTTGGTCGGCCTGGCAGAGCATTCAACATCGAACACGTACCCTAGGCGGTAAGCAATTTTGAGGAATCAAATTTTTTACATGTGTTATGGGATGAGCTGGATTTCTCAGGTTGAAGCTTCAGGACCTTTGTTTGTTCGTTTGTTTTTGGGTTTCATATGCTCTTTACTTGTCCACTGAATGCTGTGTCAAGAATAGCATCTATTATAGTCTTGTCACGATACATTTTCACTTGAGCATGCACTCATGTGCCTTTACATAAATGTGTATTTCATCAATTGCAAATTTGGTAAGTTGATGTGTATAAGAAAAAATTCACATAACTACTTAATAGAGCAAATTTCTTTTTATTGGTTGGTTAATCAAATCATCATAGTCCTTTAACATGAAACATAACTCATACTAATTTTTCCATTTCTGCTTGAATTACAGAGGCTCATTTGAGAAGTTTCTTGATGAGTTGGTATAGGAAATGTGAATATGGTCCTCAAAACTTATGTTGGGATCAAGTTAGGCACTCTGTTCCACCAAACTAAACCTAAGATAAACTTTAATTTTGTTGTCACTTGTCACTATAGATTATAGAACTATGCACTTAATTAATGTTTTGAGTATGGTAGTATTGGATTTGGATTAATTTTGCTTAAAAGGGGTGGATTTTGGCTTCTGTAGTTTTGGTTTAGGCGTTTCTCCAACCCTCCCCTTGTATGGGTCGGGTATTACAAGAAGGGGGGAGGATGGGGTGGTTTGGAATGTACTGGGTACTAAAGGACAGTTTTCTGTCTTATCTTTTTATTGGAGTTTGGTGGGGGAGATGTTGGGGACATTTCCTTGGAAGAGTATTTGGGTGCTGGGTTCCGTCTAAGGTGGTTTTCTTTTTATGGACTATTGCTTTGGGGCAAAATCTTACTATTGACAACCTGGTTCGTCGAGGACGTGTTAGTAAACTGGTGTTGCATATGTTGTGTTGATGCAGAGTCGGTAGATTATTTGTTTCTTCATTGTTTAGTAGCTGTGCGATTCGGGGGCTTATTTGTTCTTTGTTCGGGATCATTTGGGTGCAGCCAAGGGGGGTGCTAGAGATGTTGTGGAGCTGGTGGGGGCCTGGGTTGGGCGGCGACGGCGACAGTGGCAGGTGTGGTTGTTGGTGCCTTTTTGTTTGTTGTGGTTGGTTTGGCTAGAGAGGAATCGACGTACGTTTCAAGAGATTTCTCATTTGGTGGTGTGGCTTGAAAATAGATTGCTTGTTACTTTGTATAGTTGGAAAGAAGGGTGGATCCGAATTTATTTGTTTTTTTAGATTTTTTGGATGATGTTATTGGTTAGAAGCTTTTAGTTTCATTTTGGATGTCCTTATATTCTTTGCATCATCTTGATGCTTTTTTAATAAAGTTAGTTTTATTTATCAAAAAACCTTGCCAATCACTGTTATCATGATTTTGGAAACACAGGACATTCTACGGACACACCTACATTATGTCGTAATGTTCTTTGCTTGACACTTTCAAATTTTTAACCTTGATTTGTTGAAGAATCTACATCTTAAAATGGTTTTGATCACTTCATTTTGTTGCAGATACATTTCTTTTTGCAGAGTGGGAACTGGACTTTCCGATGAAGAGCTCGATTCTGTTGTAACCAAACTGAAGCCTTATTTCAGGTACTAATTAGGTCAAACAATTTTTTTAATTGTGGTTGTGAGCCTGCAATGATCTGTGAAAAAATGTTTGATGACCAACTTTAAGTAGGCCTTAAAAACAAAGAATACAGCTCTTTCAATATGATCTCCCTTCCCAGTTGCATCTGTGGTCTTGGACCTGAATCAGTTTCAACTGTGATTTTTTGAAGTCAGGTTTATGCATTTTTTAGCCTATCAGTTTGGCCCTATATGTAATCAATCTCATGTAAGGCTGGTTGCCAGTTTTATTTTTATTTATTTATTTATTTATTTATGTCTAATGGTGACACAATCGATTGGAGTTTAGAAAGCTTTTGAGGACTAGTTTGTTTCTAATTTGTGTGAACATTTTACATATACTTTAACCACCTAAATTATATTGAATGATTGGCTTTGCAGGAAAAATGAATACCCGAAGAAGGCACCGCCAAACTTTTATCAAGTTACAAATAACTCCAAAGAAAGACCAGATGTTTGGATTGAGAGCCCTGAAAAGTTAGTTTCTTTTTCCTCTTTTGAGCTTTGCTACAGGGACTCTACTAAATGTATAAATTACCTGTGTCAGATTCTTGACACTTGATTAAGGATATGGGATATGTGTTCGACATGTGTTTTGGACATTTTCCTAACAAGCATGTCTAGTAATTCAAATTTACTGTATAATTACGCATCAAACTGTCATATAGTGCATGAAATGCTCTATGCCACCTTGTAAATACCATTTTATCCTAGAAAGTAAAAGAAAAATATTAAGAAATATGAATATTTTGCCATGCCTGTGTCTCCTTAGACTTGGAAATTAAATGAATCTGATGTGTAGACACGTACCCACACCCGACAACCATACATGTGTCAATGTAACATAGCTTTTGATTTTGGGAAGTTTTTTTTTAAAGCATTATAGGTGATGTTGCTCACCCTTTTTTGAGATTTTCTCTACCATTATTTGCAGATCAATTATACTTTCTATTACCAGTGATATTCGAACAATAAGATCTGAGGTATTGCCCTACAATATGAGATTTGCTTCTTCTGTGTTTATTAACCAAACATAAATAAGTAAAATTCTATCACAGGAATCTTGTGTGGGTTTTCTCATGCAACTTAGTTGTTCGATATCATGTTGTTGATCATATTTGTTGTTTGTTGTTTTGTTTTTCCAGGTATTTGCTGCACCATATAGCTTGAGATTTCCACGTATTGACAGAGTGAGATATGACAAGCCCTGGCATGAATGTCTTGATGTGCAATGTAAGTCAATGAAATTCAAATGCTTCTCTACACAATTGATCTGATATATTTAACTCCACTTGTTTTGAGTATGTGTTTTCTTCCCCTAAAATGATATGTTTAAATGTATTTGGTAGGTTAATTGTGTTTCAATCATGTATGTCTTTTTGATTCATTTTGTTTTGTATTCTCAATTGCAGCTTTCGTAGAATTGGTACATTCAAACAACGGTACCACACAAAAAGGGACTGATTATGGAGTTGTGCAAGATAATAAACCAAAACGTATGAAATCCTCAAGAAAAGGAGAGAAAAAGAGTGTTTCTGTTGTTCCTCCTCACTTTATTCAGACTGATATTTCTGACGTAAAGGGCGAGTCCTTGGTCTTTTCAAAGATGATGTTTTGTATCCTTTCGACTAATTTACCAACTCTGTAGTTCTTTCTTTCCAACCTAATTGTTTGAGAAAATTCGCTGTCTAAGCTATCTCTTGAATCAAAACCTTTTGTTTTGGGTCTTACTGTAATGCCAATAATTGGCAGTGCTTTCCGGGTTGGTCACAGATTCCTTGCTTTTAAACTAGTGTATAATATTCAGTAAGGAGAGTTTAGGGGTTTTCAATTTTTTTTTTGCTCAGCAAAGTAAAAATTTCATTAAAAATATGAAATTAAAGGTTCAAGGAAATGAAATGTACTGAGAGAGATACAAAGAGTACAAACTCTCTTACTACTGCAACTCGCATCCACAGAACCAACCCCACGACGTCAGGAGTTTTTTAATATGAAAAGAGCAAAAAATAAGAAGCAAGAACAAAATACAGAAAAGAAGAAAAAAAGTAGTAAAGTAGATCTTAACTACACAACCTAGAGGAGTTTAGAGGTTTTCATTGATCTGATGAACCCACTCAACATTGTTAATGTTTTAGTTTACATAATCAGTTGTCTTGATACTTCACATATGCTGACAATTTTGATCTATACAGAGCTATTCTACCTCTAAATAAGTTTGGCACCTTCATATTTTTAAGTACTTTGTGTGCTGTACTGTTGATTCTTCCATGACATCAATAGACTTTGTCAACATGCCACAAACACATTCCCTAGATTCCTTGCACAAAATGGTGGCAGAGAATGGGGGAACTTTCTCAATGAATTTGAACAACTCAGTTACTCACTGTATTGCAGCTGAAAGTAAAGGTCTCTCTCTCTCTCTCTCTCTCTCTCTCTCTCTCTCTCTCTCTCTCTCTCTCGTGTGTGCACACATACATTCGCATTCCAAGTTTTCTGTTAAAATTTATCAATAAACCTACCACCACTACCACCTCACCTACTCCACTAAACCTAACCCACTACACCACTACCGCCTCACCTACTCCACTAAACCTAACCCACTACACCTACATCTATATACCCACTACACCTACATCTATATAAGGAACCATTTGTAATAGACAGAATAAATAGACAATAAACATATCAATCAATAATATACATCAATTTATTTTTACATTTTCTTTCATATATCTGATTGTTAAAACAATATTGGCAGGGCTCAAATTTCAGGCAGCAAAGCTTCGTGGAGATATTATTCATTACTCTTGGCTCTTTGATTGTTGTTCACAGAAGAAGCTCCTCCCTTTACAGCCAAAGTTAGTATTTCACTCCCAGGCTCAATATGTCCCTACCCCTGTTATTTTTGCTCCTTTACAGATGAAGCTTTTCACTATCTTCTTTCTTTTGAAGGTACTTCCTCTCTCTTTCCGACTCTTCAAAAAAAAAGCTGCAAGAAGAAATTGATGAATTATCTGACCCTTACTACTGGGATCTTGACATTGAAGACATCAAACAGGTAGCCTTTTAAGTAGGTGACTGGCCACTTTTATCTTCACTTACATGAGCAATCAACCCAACGTATGAAATCATTTGCGTGTCCGTGCCATGTCTGTGTCTTATCACGTGTCCATGCTTCCTAGATTGAATCTCTTCTTACTATTGCTCTTCTAACATTTGTGTGTGGTTTTTTTATTTAAATTTTTTTCCCCCCTCTTAAGCTCTTAAGCAACATAAATAGGTCAGAAGATTCCAAAACCATCGACTATTATAAGAGGAAATTCTGTCCGAAGGATAAATGGTCTTGTTTTCATGGTTGCTGCATTTACTTCCACCCTTCAGCTGAGTCTTCGTAAGATTCTCTTCAAGTTCCTTCTACTCTTAGGAATGGACTTCATTTACCTAGTATCAAAGATCTGTTTTTCTAAGTAAATATTAATTGATTTTTTATATCCACTTGAAGGAATTTAGATTCGAAAGTTTTAATTGAACTGGCTCTGAGGAGGATGAGGCTTGCAGTTGCCATGGGTGGTGGCAAAGTCAGCAGCAGTCTTTCTCAGGCTACCCATTTAGTTGTCATTTCGCCACTGGGATTCAATGTGGAATTTGATATGATATTGAGAAGGTGAGTTACGAAGAATCATCGTATCATGAAATTGAGATCATAGCATTTCACCAATTTGAAAAGAATTATGCTATTTCTTACAACCCTTGGTTGCAAAACTAGTATCAACCATTTTAATTGACATATGTGAACTCATGAAGAATTTAGGGATTCTATTGGATGTTCTCATTGCTTCAATCCCTTTGTGGGTTGTCTATTGATGTTACTCATCAATTTGGGGCTGGATGCTATGTCGTGGAATGGTGAACCAAGTTCTGTGTGCTTGGCCTAAATATTGTCATTTTCTCTACATTCACTGCAGTTGGCGAACTGATCAACACAGCGCCATACAGTGTACCTCTGAAGCATAGATACGGATACGGACATGTACATGATGATTTAAAAAAATAGGGCGTAGACACTGCAAGAATATGGGGAAAAAATGTTTATATATTTTTATTTACTATGTATATTAATGTTACATCCATAGACCATCAAAATTAATGAAAACTAATACTAACATAAAAACACACCAAATTTAAATAAGCCAGAGATTAGATCTGTGTTAAGTTAGGGCTCCAGGGATTGTAAGAAGCAAGTTGCTTAACTTCATAATTGTGGTTAGATTTGTGTTGCTTTGTGGATGGTTTGATATAAGTTCTACATATATATGTTTTTCTACATTCAACATGATATTTGATCCCGGGCTATACTTGCTCTTCCCTGAATTTCCAAATATTATGATATGATCTCTGAAATTAGCTTTGTCATGTCCTGCCATGCTCCCTTGAGTCCCAGTCATGTCTCCGCTGTGTACAGTGAAGATAATTATTGAAAATACGGACACGCCACGTGGTGTGTTAGGCATGTGTCCTTACTGTGTTGAAGTGTTGGCGCTTCATAGTAGTGTACTACGGCGGGGATGGAGGGATGAGGCTTTAGTTGCAATACAAGTTTTATACTTCTGTTGATATGGTCATTGTGTTGCCTCCCATAAATGAATCATAAAGAAATTTATAAAAATAAATAAATAAATATTGGAATCAAATTGAAGTATGAAATTCCTTGCTGATTTTTCCTTTTTGTCTTTTTCAATTTTTATCCCTTCTAGTAGAAAAATTAAGGTTAACAGTAATTATTACATCTTTTTTCACTGTAGTTTTAATTATCAAACATTACATTTATCAAGTATTCAAAATAAAAATAGATGTTTTCTTCATCTGCAACAACACATATATGTCGTAATGGTCAACTGTGGTCCAAGTACAGGTTATAAACTTGTAAAATTGAAATTGTTTTTAATGTTCTTAAAATTATAAATTCATTTCGCTGTGAAAACTTTGTAATCCATCTTACCCTCTCTTTTTTTTGCCATTGTTATTCCTTTCCTTTCCTCTCCTCATTTTACAGTTTCTCATCTGCGGAAGTACATCTTTTACATATGAAAAGCTTGCATGTTGTTGGGCTTCAATGGTTGGAAGACTGCTTGGATAAGGAACAAAAATTGCAAGAAGCGATATATAGTTTGAAGCCCACTGGCTTCAAAGAGTCAAACTTGGGAGAGTGGTAATATGAGTATGGGTTTTATATTAATGTTATTGTACACCTGCATGCACCCTTTGACTTCTGATTTCTACTGGGTATCTCACATTATCGGTGAAGGAAGTTTTATGGAAGTTCTATTTCCCATAAGATTTAATGGATTGAATTAGGTACTGAAAATTGTGATAAATCACTAATATCAGGAAAATATTTGGAAACTATGATTTGAGCACTTATGGTACATTATCCAGTCCCAAAAGCAATCATAGATAGTCGCCAAAGCTAGATTAGGGTTTAGTGTTTGTGGAAAGCACTCCTCCACCTCCGGCAGCCCCTTCCCAGCTGCCCCCACCCCTCCCCGCCACCTCCACCTCCTTCAACCCCTTTACTCAGCCACCCTGCCCTTCCTCTCTAGCCCCCGTCTCCTGCAGCCCCCTTTTGAGCCACCCCCGCCCCTGCTCGCCAAACCCCATCTCTGGTGCCCATCTCCTCCTATCAAACCCTAGCCGCTGCCACCCTTCTTCAAAACCCTTTTATTTTTTATTTTAATTTTTAATTTTTTCTAGACTTGACTGATTTAAATATGTATGCCATAAATTGGCTGTCTTGTATTGTATGTTTGTTTTAGTCAACGAATGTAAATAATGTGTAACTCATGTACTCTGATTTTCTTTTCTAGGAAACATGATCCTAGTCTAGATGACTTGTCTAGTATGGACATTGAACATCAACAGAAGAATATGTTATCTTCTCCTACCAAAGACCGAGAACACAGAAAAAGTACAGCTGCTTTAATCAACCCAAGACTTTTGACCTCTACCCAGAAGGATGGAAAAAGGGAAAGACAAATGACCCACTAGCAAGAGCATAAACAAAAGAAAATTGAGTGTCATTCAACCTCGAAGAACACGGGCACGTCTTGGAAGTAAGTCTGCTAAAATATGTGAAACTGAATTGGATGTAAATGTCTCTCCAGACAAGAATGCCATTAAGGAAGAGCCTGAAATAGAAGTGGAAAATCATGAAATCCATGGAATAGCAGATCAGGATGATCGGGAATTGAAAGGTAAGGCAATAGTAGAAGATTGTTATTCATCACAAAAAGGAATAGAAGATAGCATGATAACAGAGCAGTTTGACAGAGCTCATGGAATTGAATTGGGCAGTGGAAATAATGCCCACAACAGTGAAAAACTGGAAGTCATGGTTGATCCGGTTCAGTCCATGTTGCTAGACATGATACCAAGCCTTGGGACAAAAAAAGTTGATAGTATAGATCGTGTTGTTGAAGAACCGAGGCCACCAGAGCATAACACTGCAGAGACTTTAGAGAAAAAGAAAGTCAGCTACAAGGACCTTGCTACTGAGTTGCTTAGGGATTGGTAAATTGTTATTATTAGACATAGTAACCCAGGTAATTCTATTTGTACATCACATAAATTCTCAGTTTAGATTAGTTGTGTCGTTCAGATATCAATTTCCGAACCAAAAATCAGATGTTTACATATCAATTTCTGAGCCAAAAATAAAATAAAAAATAAAAACTTTTGCCCGAAAGTTGATGTCTAAATATTTGATTTTGGTTTGGTAGCTGATATCGGAACGGGTTCAAAAGGTGCATACTGAGACAAAAATGTGCTGTGAAAATAGAATGTACCCTAGTAACCTTGTATCTATTATCAGCTGTATATATAACCTATGTCCAGTGATGAATACAGTAGTTTTGAGTTGAAATGCATTGTTGTAACTTGCTTATGTTATGTATACACCATTCTCTCCCATTCCTTTTTCCAAAGAAATCATTTTTTTTTTTTTAATAATTTACTACACTTTTTTCCATGTTAGTTGGTTCATTTTCACTTTGACCTATAGGTTTATGTTCCATTCTTCAATCTAGTCCCTGCTTTCTGCAAAATTCTTTTGAATGCTATTGTTATGTCTACATTTTTTGCTTTCAAATGGTGTACATTATTGCCTGCTAAACGAGCAATTTGGAATTAACTTCAATTGATTAGAATATTTGCATCTCACTAAGAGATTAAGGTCATGTTTGATTCAAAAGACTAATAGTGAAGTATTAATAATCCTATTAAATTAGTGTAGGATTTACTATCCAATTGGATTAATATCCATTGGATTAATAATCCCACCCCTACCCCATTACTAATAATCCTACAAATTTGTTGGATTAATTATCCATTGGATTAATAATCCTAAACCAAAATGTTAAAACAAACATGAGATAATTGGGCCCACGGATTAATAATCCTAATCTTATGCTCTAATCCACCCAATCAAACATGCCCTAAGAGTTTAATTGTATGTGAAACTGTTTTTGCAAATAGGATTAGATGAACTTGGAATAATTTATGCTAAGCAGTTAGTGTCAACTTTACAATATTTTAACATTTTAAGAGTGTTTTTTGGGCTTGTAATAGTTAGTCATATATTTCAAGTCCTTTATTAAAAGGGGAGACTGGGCTAAACTATGTCAAAATTATAAGATTTATTGTTTTTTTTTTTAAAAAAATTTCAAAGAAATCAAACCCATTAAGGACCACTATCAATCGATTTTAATTCACATACATTATAACCTTATCCAATTACAACTATTTAACTCAGAATGGCAAGTGGTTATGGGCGAATTGTAGAGTTAAAATTGATACAATGCCTCATTCTGTTATATATTGTTTATATCTTACCTACGAAAAAAGTAATTATAAATAATAATAAAAAAAACAAAACAAAATACAATGCAAATAGAAAGCTTATCATTACACTAGAAGCTAATTTTGGAACAACATTAAGTTCAAAATTTAAAAAAAATAAAAAAAAAAAAAAAAAAAAAGGAAAGAAAAGGAAAACATTTCGTTTATTGGAATTTTCTAATGAGAGAAGCTATTGCCATTTCAACAAAAATTAGAGAATAAAAACCCTAGCAAACTATAAAAAAACAATCTGCTCATCGAGGATCATAGGATTCACCATTGGATGCAACTCTCTTATTTATGCCATTAGAAACTCAGGGGGCTTTCTGGATCATTAAGAGTTGCTATGGCACTTTCAATTGCTCTCTTCAAATTATCTTTCTCTTCCTCATCAGCCTGGAAAAACAAAAGCAAAAAAAAAAAATTGACTTTAAAAATATATATATATATATATATATATATGATGTTAGCACTAGCCCACTTCATTTAAAAAAAAATAAAAAATGAATACTTTTCTCCTTTCCACACCAAAACACAAGCTCTTTTTTCTTCTCTACATTTCAAATTGTCTTGCATAATTGTATTTTTGTAATATATTAATTTACTTTATTATTTGTTTATTTAAAATTTTGTTTGTTAGAGATTAAAATAACTCATATCATAATGCTTATTATCCAATGACTATAGATGAGGAAGAAGAGGTCTTAGGAGTTGAATCATTAGGTTCTACAACCTTCTATAATACTTCCTTCAATCCCACTATAATCCCATTATTTTCTATTAATACACCCTACTCCTAGAATATCAAATTCTTCTATTTAAAATGTTTGTGATAGAATATAAAATTTTGGAAAAAGGGTACTAAAGCAAAACATAGTTTATGTGAAAGAGATTTAGTGAGTTCCTCAAATGCTGGCACTAGTCATTTAATAATTGTCTTAATCAACTTTATCCTTATTATCACCAGAGATTAGTGGCGTCAAGAGAGAATCACAATATTATCTTAATCAACCAATAAGCAGATGATGATAAATCATTTCAAATTTGTCATGTGGGAAATTACAAGAGGCTAAGGCTTTGTTTGGTTTCATTTTAAAAATCAGTTTTAAATTTGTTTTTTGAAAAATAAAACTTAATTTGATGAAAATAAACACTAAGGGGTTGTTTAGGATGATTTAAATAAGTGCACGTTTTGATTTTTTACAAAAAGATGTGAAAAAAATAGAGGTGATATGACTTAAAAAAGATAAAAAAGATACTATTTTAGTACTCTCCAAACAAACTCTAAAATGACTAGTGGACGAGTTAACAAATCTACATTATTAAGATACTTTGGGCTTGATTGTACTACGTGCACATAGAGAATATGACACAAAATGCATAAAAATGAGACAAAAAGTTCGCATGTTCACATTGATGCAATTTTTTTTTTTATTTCACATCTATATATTCTGTGTTCGATTTTCTCTGTGTACCTAGATTTTTTATTTATTTTTTTAATGTTTAAATTCTTGAAGCTAAATAATGCAAATAATTGATAAATTGTGTGGGTGAGATAAACACAAGCATAATCTACAAAAAGGCACACAAAACCCAGCATTGGGTCCATTAGATGAGAATATTCACAAAAAAATGTTTAAAGTGAAAAACTTTCAATTTGGTTTTATTCAGACACTCTGGAAATCACTGCTAATCATTGCATTTAAATAAAATAAAATAAAAAAGAGAGGAAAAAAAAAATGCAATGAGGTTCCTTAGCTTTATTAAAAGTATTCCATCAATTTCCATTATTCAGACCCCACAATCACTAATCATACCCTGTTTTTGGACCACTCTATAAATATAAAAACACACCCAAAAAAAAAAAAAAATTTGCTAACTTGCTATGCATAAAGAACACTAGTGACACCTCACAAATCTCCTATTAAAATATGAGAAATAATATTCATATGCAATTTTTAATCTCGGTCTGATTTATTTACGATTGTGCTTGCATATTAGTAAGAAAACATATGACCTTTTATTTAAAAAGTAACAAAAATATAATTATATGTATTTCTATTATTAAAATAACAACATACATATAAACCAGACTTATTAGATAATTTCTCTCGAAAAAGGAAAAAAAAAAAAAAGTTCCTTAAAATATTTCTCCCATTATACCTTATTCTTGATGCCAATGCCTTTAAGATATGAAGATATGCTTTTTAGGCTTTTTATCCAATTTATTATTTTATTATTTTATTTTTTGTCTTTTTGTATCTTATTTTTATTTTTGTTTTTGTTTGTTTGTTTATTTATTTTTTTATTTTATATGGCGGAAGAATCACATTAGAATATGAATTAAAGTTTTGATAAGTTGATTATTGTAATTAAAAAGTGAGAGACTCAATTTAGATAAAAGTTTAAGGATAAAAACAAAAAAATGTTAATCAAAATTTCAATAAGTGTACCGTTGGTGGGCCGCTTCGAGGACTAATTGTTATCCGTGGATTTTGGACTTATTTTAATGATTAGAATCATTTATATAGTAAAATTTTTAAAAAAAATTAAATTAATCAAATGTTTATAATTACATATAAAATCATATTTATTTAAAAAAAATAAAAGACGAATATGATTTTGATAATAGTTATATATTTAAATAAAAAATAATTAAAATCTAATTATAAATATCCAAATAACTTAAATTTTTCATAAATTAATAAATTTTATAATATAAATAATTCATATCATCCAAATAAGGTAGAAATTAACCCACACGAAGGGTCACATCAAGCTATTGTGCCTAGCAGCCTATCCCACTTCGGGTCTATCAAGGTTATTTGAATGGTTAATTTTATAACACAAGTCAAGTAAGTCATTATGTTAAAAGTGCGGTTAATTATATATTGATAAGTATAAAATTTAATCATATTTGTTTTAAAAAAATTAAAAAAAAGCTCTTCTCAAAATCACTTTTTTTAAAAAAAATATAATTTGATTATATAGTTATTAATATTTAATTAATTTAATTTTTTACTTAAATAATTTATTTATCATGTTATAAAAAATAAACACCAAGAGACGCAAGAAGCAACCCCAAACTCATACAAAGGTTGTGGAAATTAAAGGAGAGAGGGAGAGCGAGAGAGAAACCTGGACAAAGACAGTTTTCAAAACTCTGCCAGAGAAACAAGTGATGTTGGCAGCAATAATTTTGAGCTTCAAAGTTTCAAACACTTCACAAAGCTTTACCATTGTTTCTGTCCTTTTGGAGCATGTCAAGCTCACTACCACTGTCTTCTCCCCAATGTATGACACACTCAACTGCATATTCACACATACATACACATTCATTCATATACACAAAACTAAAGTCACCAAAATTTAAGCCTATAATTTCTTGGATGGTGGGTCACATCTACATCCAAATAAATCTCATTCACACAAACTTCTGTGATTCTAAGCCTTGACTTTTTGTGATTGGTTTGTCTCCTGTTGTCCAAGCTAATTGGACCGTCTAGTCTGGCATAATATGGACCCATTTAAGGTTTATTTTAATAATTCAAATTATTTATTTTATAAAACTTTTCAAATATATCATTTATATTAAAAATTAATTTGATTAGATATCGGTACACACTTGATCAAACCAACCAAATAGTTAATGATGTCCGATCAAATTGATTTTTGATATGGATAATTTTTTTTAATAAACCTTACAAAATGAACTGTTCGGATTGTCAAATTGTATCTAAAATGGGATGACAATAAGCCAGACTAGATGCTCTAATTGGGTGGAGACAATCTCATTTCTAAATTTTTTAGATAAGTTCTGATATAAAATTTTAGTATGGATCCTTTAGAGCGATTTTTTTATTTTATTTATTAAAATAATTTTAGAATAAGTGATGTAATGTATGATAACGATTTAATGGTCCGGTACAAAAAAAAATCACTTTTAAGATTTTTAATAGTGAATTTCAACTATACATCACATCACTGATACATATGTACATGTCCAATTCATCCCTCTATTCATTTTTTTAAAATAGTATAAATTACGAACAAATTAACTACCCAAAACAAAATTAATCAAATCTTAAAAGAGAGAGAAGTGGAGAATGAAAGACTTACTTCAAGATCTTCAATGGTAGATGTGGTTGATCTCCTTGAATCATAACTATGATCAATTCTCTTTTTCTTGAGTCTTGACAAGGTTGGAATCTGTTGATCCAAGTCAAAAACTGCATTTTTCTTCAATTTTCCAGATTCAAGCTGTATTAAATCAGCTTGGATCCTCCTCTCTTGCTCATGCAATTCTTGGATGTAGTCAATTGCGTCTTTGATTATGGATGCCTTGTCCATCTAATTCAACATCACCACAACACTTCATCAAAATTAAATTAACTAACACCAATTTTTCTAATTTGATTTACATTTAATAGATTCTGTGATTTGTTTCTGTGTTATAAAAATATTGTACAAATTTCAAAACATCACTTGTTTTAGTTTTCAAATTTTCATAACACTTGATCAAAATCCTTTTTGCTTTTTCTTTTTTTTAAATTTTATAATTGAAAATGGATGAGAGAGAGAGAGAGAGAGAAATAAAAGACCTTGCTAATTTTGGGGACCACAGCCCTGAGTGCAAAGAGTCTATCATTGAGCTTCTTCCTCCTGTTTCTCTCGGACACTATATTCTTCGATGCCGCCAACGACGACTGTGATCCCTCCGGCGAACTTGAATCGTAGTAGCTCGACAACGCTGCTTCCTCCAATCCCCAACTACTATTTTACAAAAATCAAAATCCCCCGTTCAAATTCCCAAATTTCACAAATACTCTGTTTTTTTCCAGATACTTAAAACAACCACTTCTCTCTAAACTTTACAGTTATTAATCAAATTCCTCTAATTAAATTCAAATTCAAATCCTAATCCTAATCTATAGGCTTAAATTGGAATAGACTATCACTTTTCTTTTCTTTTTGTTTTTTAAGACCCTAGAAAATCAAAAGAAAATCCACAATAATGTGTCACGATAGGTGTCAATTTTTAATTTGTTTCACATTTAGTGATATAGTGCCCAATTCTTTTGAATTTGTGAGTATAAATGTGTAAAATCTCTACATTACTCTTTTCAAAAACAGAAATTCTGTGACATCAATAACAATTCTAGCTTTGACTTCTATAGATAGATATGTATAGTTGTGAATATAGAGAGAGAGAGAGAGAGAGGGGAAGATGAAATGAGAATTACCTGTCAAGTTCTTCAGTTTGGAGGAACATGTTGGTCTCCCAATAGTTATTGTATTCATCACCAATGTTTTCCATTGTTTCAAGTATGTTTTAGAGAGAGAGAGAGAGAGTTGAGTTGAGTGAGTGAGTGAGAAGACACAGAGAGAACAATGAGATGCCTTCCTTTAAGGTGAATTGGGTTGGTTTTTTTTTTTTTTTTTTTGGAGAGAGAGAGAGAGGGGGGGACAGAGAGAGGCTTTGTGTGGGATTTTATAGGGAAAATTAAGGAACTTGGAGAGAGAGAGATTGGAAGTCCACGTGGGCTTTGGGGGGAGCTATTTTATGATGCAGTTACTTCGAAGAAATATCATGACCGTCCAAAAATACGACTGTGGTCTACGACGCCGCGTTAAACAACTACCACGCCATCATTTCTCCGAAATCTACTCAGTATTTCCTTCGTATCAATTTAATTTTCAAATCAGGATGTTTTGATTTAGTAATTATGAAAAATCCTTCGTAAATCACTAATTCAACATCATTAATATACTATTAATAGCTTGACGTTATGTAAACTTTACTGATGTGATAGTTTATTTGTTTGTTTATTTTTTTTTTCCTTGCATTGTCACGTAATTAGAATTGTTTTTAGAGATTGTGTACTAGTGATTTGCATCGGAACACAGTAATTATATTGCATCACTTTATTTTCTTTTTGGGAGATGGGTTAAAAAGGACTTTAATTTTTAATTCATTTAGAATTATATTCTCTTATATTTTTTATATATATTTTTTAAAAAAATCAAAAAAATTAAAAAATTAATTTTTAACTTAAATTTTTTTTTTTTTTAGATCAGGGATTAAATTTTAAAGTTGTGATTTTAAATTTTATAAAGACGTGTTAACTCTGTTTATTTCTTCCTTATTATGTTGGGTTAGGTAATTTCTTTATATTGGTTGTTCGATGTGCAATTATTCAATTTGATGTAATTATTATCATACTTGTAATTAATTTGTTATTGATTAACAAAAAAAAAACTTAATTTTTAGGATAAATTATATTAATATCTCTTGAGCTTTGGAGAAATACAACAAATTTTATAATTTTGACATAATTGTATTGATTTCATTTTTAGTAAATTAAATTAAGACAAATGGTGTGAATATACAAAAATAAATAATATAAAATGTATATTTTAGTGCAAAATAAATAAATTATTTTTCTATATGATTAACGAATTACTAATAAAAATGGATTCAAGAAAGCTTAATGTAATTATATCAATTTTTTTAAGTTATTATATTTTTTCAAATTTTAGAAAAGGGTAGTATAATTTATCCTAATTTTTATTGAATTAAATGGTTATGTTAGGTAAAGTTATGCTTCAAAACCATAAAATAAGTTCCTTGGTAGAGTGACGAGTTGATTCAACTTCCTATGCAGTTGGTTTGTTAGTCTTCAAGTCACCAAATTAATTTTATGGCGCAAGTGGGATATGGGAGTCCGTTTTTATTGATTTAAATCGCTTACTTTATAATTTTTTTTTTATAAATATATGATTTTTTAAAATTTATAATTAAGAATTAATTATAAACAATCATATGCTTATAATTATTAATTTAATTTATTTTTTTTTATAAATAATTTATATACAAAACTTTCAAAATTTAAATTTAAATAATCGAAGTGAACCATAAATGCTTTTGTTGACAATTAGGTTAAATTAATTTAGCTTTCATTTGAAAAGTGAGTTGACCTTTTGACTTTTTATTTTTTGGCTATTTAGGGATAAAAGTTTGTTTGAGTTGGGTTTTTTGAGTTTTTTTACTAGAAAAAAAAAATGAAATAATTATAGTTTAGATGTGATATTTTGTCTTATTAATTTTTTAACTTATTTTATTGTTTTGTAACTAATTTAGTCAAAAAGCCAAATTAGCCTACATGCCAAACGAAGGGTTATTGACTTTTTGATTTTTATGAGTCACATCACCTCTTTATTTTTTTTTGTATATTTTTTCAAAAATAAAAAATAAAAAAAGCCAAAAAAAAAAGTTTTTAATCTACTTCTTAAAATAGGCTAAATTATGAGTTTGTTTGGATGTGAGTTGATTTTTTGACTTTTTAACTATTTGAGTATGAGACTAAAAAGTCTCATTTAATATGAGTTTTTCGATTTTTTTTTACTTTTATGAGAGAAAAATAAAATAATTATAATTTGAATATGATATTTTTTAATCTAAAACTAAAAATATATTTTATCTTTTTATAACTATTTCAATCCAACGTTCCAAACGAGTGCTATATAGGCATTACAAGTCCAAATTCACCCTTTTGTTAATTGAAGAGTTGAATAGACCATAGACAAGCAACACTTCTTGCCCAATACGTTATATATAATGTCCCACTTGAGCAAAAAATAAATAAATAATAGGAAATAAAAAATACATGTATACTCTCCCAACGAGTAGAGACTTTTTGTGCACTTGAAGGGTCCAATGTGTCGCATCCCATGTACATTTTAAAGTAGTCTTTCTTCACTTTTTGTGCCGTTTTGGGAGGTGAATAATGTTACCACAAACTTAACTCACATCTAATTCTAAATAGAATTAATTTAAAAAGTAGGTAAATTTTTTTTGATTTAAAAAAAATACAATTAATTTTAAAAATTTGATATAATTATATTGATTTTTCTTTTAATAAGTTAAAACGATCAAAACTAATAGAGATAGTGGATAAATAATGAAATAAATAAAGATAAATATATGTAATAGAAAAAAGATAATAATTTCATGTTTTCATCTATATGACTGTTATATAAATTAAAATCTCGAGAGAATCTAGTATAATTATGTCAAAAAATGTGAAACTAACTGTATTTTTTAAACTTTAAGCGAGGTGAATGTAATTTATTTTCTTTTTATTTTTTGTATTTTACAAAATTTATAGCATCAGACCTGTTGGGTTATCATTATTAAATTCATAGAACTAAATATATTCAAAGATTTTTTTTTTTTTTTAAATTAAGGGTTTTCATAATGATAAGCATCTACCTCTTCGTTTTTCTTTTTCCTTTTTTTCCATCCAACTAGTGAAATACTTCATTAGAGATATGAGTTGTTCACAGTCCACCCAATCAAATTTTATTCTTTCACATATAGTAAACTTTTTCAAATTGGGTCTTTTTTTAGGTTCTCCTAGATTAAATGATTTTTTTTTAAAATTTTATAAAAGGGTGTGCCAAATTTGAATAAAAAAAGTTTACTAAATGCAAAAAATATTTAAAAAGACAAGAATTTTTTTTGTGCATTTTCAAATTTAGACTTTTTAATAAAAATTTTAGGGTCTTATAATTTAGAAAGACCTAAGAAGTTTGCTAAAAACAAAAGTAAAAAAAGAAAAGAAAAAGAAAGTGCTTAAAATGAGGTCACACCTTTAACCCTCAAAGACCAACAATTATGTCTCCATGAAGAAATATAAAGAATTGTTTTTGTCACTCTTTTTCATCGTAAAGATTATAAAGACTCTCTTAACATTTATATTTAATGTTTAAAGTTACATAAGAGATAATTTTTAATAAGAACAAACCGTCGTGATGAGCTGGGTTTTGGCCAAATCTATATAACCTTTTAAGTGTTCATCAAGTTTGGAATCAAGCGCGTATACTTTATTCCTTAAAAAAAATAAAAAATAACAATAAAAATAAAAAATTCAAATTTACCTATACGACTCGAATATTACTTAATATAAATGTATTTGTTATATTTTAAAATATAATTAATGTAATGGTTTGGGTTTAACCTATTCAAAATTAATAGTTTCAATCTTCTAAAAGGCCTGGTTTGAGATGTTAAAAAAAAATTAAAAAGTCAAAAAGTTACAAAAAAAAAAAAAAGAGTAAAAACGTCATCATTATTCATAAATTAAAAATATAAAAAAAATTAATATACATAATATTTTAATACAAACTAACTTTACACCGTGAAACGTACTGAATTGATGGAAAAGTATCGTGAAAGGAACAAAAAAAAATTACATATATATATTTACTAAGTTGGACGGTAATGTTGGGCCTGTGGGGTACTACCGCAGGTCCCGTTTTGATAATCCGAACCGTTAATGTGTAGAACTTGTCAAGTACTGTATGTTTGTAAAAAATCACGTTGATCGGATATCGCTAACTGCATGATCAAATCAGTTTTGTATAAAAAATGGATGATGCTATAATTAACGGTTGACAAAAAAACTAATCCGATCAGATAGCTATAGATATCCGATCAACGTAATTTTTTGCAAATATATAATACTCAACGAGTTGTATACATTGAACAATTTCGATTAGCAAAACGAGACCCGTGGTACCGTCCAAATGATTGCCCGGAAAAGAGACAACCATTTCCTATTCCACCAAATCTTGTTGCCACTGTACAGCCTACACTGTCAAATACATATTTTTTCGTAAAAGTCAAAAAGTTAACCTAAACATCTATATTTTTTTCCTCAACTTTTTAGTCTAAAAAGACAAAAAATATACTTATTTAAGACATCCCAAACAACCCCTAAATATTTTACATGAATAGTAACACATAATATATGTTATAAAAAAGAGAAATTCTAATATACACATCCTTAACAGAAGTGAATTATATGCATCCTTAGTTATATTATTTTTTTTAATTATGACTAAAATATATATATTTTTAATTATAACTCATGAGATCTTTAGTAATATCTCATGTTGTGTTTGATTATGATATTTTTTATTTTTTTAGTTATGACTCAAAAAATATGAAATTATGTAATTTTTTTTTTTAATTATAAGATATATATAATACACATCCTTATCTTCTTATAAAAAAAATAATAATTTAAAGAATGTAAAACCTACCCATAAATATATATACATATATTTATAAAAATTTATTGTATAATATAGATTATGCGTGGAGCTGAGCTTGAAACACTCAACTGCCAAGCACAACCGACACTATAATTGAATTTAAACTATGACTTCCAGGATTTGGAAAGGCAAAATGGACCATCAGATCATGTCCATCCTAAATTTTTAACAAATAATAATGTTGTGTTTGATTAGGAGATTTGAAAAAAAAATTGAAAAGAGAAATAGAAAAGGTAGGTAAAATGTGAATAAAATATGCTTATATTTCACCTAGTTTCATACATATTTTTTCTTTCTTTTTTCAAATCCCTCCCTAAATTTCTCAACCGAACAC